TTTTGGAATTTAGATACATTTACATGAACTGCATGCATTGAATATTTGTGCTGTAGTGGTTTTTAAATCACTCTGCTGTACTACATGTGGTGGTTTTATCCACCTTTTCATGTAGTCTTTTTGATCTTTGTAAAGAAAAGTGTGATGTCTTTGTGGTTCTCTTCCTGTTTTATGTTTTAGTAGTTTGTACAGTCTTTTTAATGTGTTTTTTGTCTTTATTGAGCATTAAAGGAACATACACTAAATGCACACTCACACACACCACAGAGTTCCCGTTAGAATATTTATTTGCCGGTCAACATGTCCGTTAAAGTTGAAATCTTCCGGACAAAAGTAGAAAAGTGCCGGTCAAAGGTCTTCTTTGTTATTTATTGAGCTTTAAAACAAATTGATATGATTCGATATTAAACAAACTAATTATAGTAGATTAACTACATTATTCAAAAGTGTACAGTAACTTACAAAAACACGGGAATAATAAACGGAGCGCTCTCCCCCTCTCCTGACAGTCCGCCAGTATCATGCAGCTCGCGGATCCAGTAATGAGTGACCCGACAGTAAAACTAAAAACATCTATAACTAGTTTAGGTAGTTTGAGAGGTAATTAAAATAGCTACGTGTGATATTCTAACCTGAAGTGTGTGTTTTGCTCCGCTCACCGCTGCAGGGGATCATGCAGAGCTGCGTGTCGACTCGTCAGCAGCAGCTGATCTCTCTATCCCGTCAGATTAGACTTCACTCGCGTTTATCTCCATATCGATCAGATCCAGCTAGTTCTAGCTAATGACATGACTACCTGCTTATTAAAAGACACCTAAACAATAAGCGTCGCTATGCAACCCGGTGAGGCCGCAAAGTATAGCGCAGCATTATGCATTTGTTTACATGCCCACCGGAACCCCGAGGCATTACCAACAGATCAACGCACAATCAAACCATACAGGACATCTCTTTCTCCACATTAAGTGTTAGACATTAGAATTGACTCTTCTTGTCTGTCACATACTATTCTTGTCTGTCACATAAGTGGCGCAACTGATGCGGTATTGCGCTAAGGGGAAATAATTTTGACCGGACATTTTGACCGGAGAGATTTAGATTTGCCGGTCTTCAGCATATTTTACCGGTCATAGTCCGGTAATTACCGGCTAACGGGAACTCTGACACACCAAACACACACACACACACACACACACACACACACACACACACACACACACACACACCAAGCACACCAAGCACACACTACAATGTGTCTGTACAATTTTACAAAAACAGCTTAATGGCTAATCCTGTTTTACAGCACACACACATACAGAAGGTCATGGCGAATGGAAACATTGTCCGCTGTATGGTAGGATGTCGATACCATAATCTGATTGGCCTAGTTGATGGATAGATGGTTTGGTTGACCTATCACAGATAACTGAATTATTGCCCCCACATACTCACCTTTCTGTCATTCTGTCTGCCTCCCTTTGTCTCTTTAGTCTGCCTCTCTTCCTCTCATCCATCCCCCTCTTCTCTCACTCTCTCATCTTTTCTCTCTCTTTGCTCTCCAGTGGCTAACCAGATTAGCCGTGCCCCTTATGGATTGTGCCCTTTATGGGTCTGTATGAACGAAAGGAAAGGAGGCAGAGAAGTGTATCTGTGTGTGTGGTTGTGTCAAGATGAGCTGTTACTACCAGATGTTTTTCTCTGTTTTATTCTTCTGAGCGCCGCACTGTCTGCCTGTCACCGGCAGATACACCGCCTGGGAGTGTGTCCGTGTGTGTGTGTTCGAGAGGGAGAAACATGAAGAGCTTTTGTGTATTTGAGAGGGAGGATAAGTGTGTATGTGCCTTTTTTAGATTAATTACTTCCGCATAAGGCGTTTTCACACCGGAGTACTTTTCCCCGTACTTTTCCCTTTTAGTTCCGATAGTTCCTGGGATTTTGCGTTCACACCAAAAAGAAAACTTTGTTCATGAGAACTTTTACCCCCTTTTTAGTGCCTGCTAGAGAGGTGGTACTATCCTGGGAGAAAAAAGTTCCAATTTTTGATTGGCTGGGCGAATTGCAAACCACGCCCCGTAAAACTCGGAAAAGTTTTTTGAAGCCGCCATTGTATTTGCTGGCATTAGCATTATTAGCATTAGCATTAGCCCCGCGCACCAACGGAGAGAGAATAACTTATGGCAACACAAAAAAAAACATGGGAGCAGTGGAGTGATGAGGAGGTGTCGGCGTTCTGGCGATTTACTCGAAAGGCTTCAGTAGAAGCTGCTGGGAGTCCCAGCAGCTTCTACTGAAGCCAGTCCCCAACTCCGGGGACTTCCGGCCGGGGACTTCGGGTGGCAGTATACGCCGTGAAGTGGTTTGCGGCCTGCCAGTAAACCCAAAGCAGAAGAAGAAGAAGTGACGTCAGCGGCTTCATTTGCGTAATCTTCCCTCAGGGAACTTATTCCGGTGTGAACGCGATCTGTACTTAGTTCCATGTACTAAGTGCTGGGAACTAAGTACGGCAAAGTACTTGGTGTGAAAGCGTCTAATGGTGTGAAAGCGGCTATAGACTGCTAATAGTGTGCTGGAGGGTCTGCAGAATGAATAATGATTATAAATAAAATGAATTTGCCAGGGTCTGAAGCAGACTAACAGACATAGAGATAGAAAGAGAAGACAGGTATTTAATGTTAAAATCTTGCCTCCTTAGATACTTCTTTGCCAATGAGGCAACCTGGATGGCCTTGAATTTGAAATGAGAGGTTAGAGCGACAGAGTCAAGAAGCAAAAACTATTTTCAGACAGCTTTCTGAGCAGCCCATTCAGGTGCAGAATTCTCAGCCCAAAAATCAACTCGCCTTTCAACTTGTCTGTCTTTCAAACTGTGCAAATCCTCCGTATTATTATTCATGTCCTTCCCTCCACTGTCAAGCTTCTTGAGTGTGGGAAAAAACACTTCCAAATCACAGTGTGTATGATAATCACACCATTAAGAACAAAAAATCAAAGCGTGGTTCTTTTATCAATGAATCCTAAAGTTGTACTGCGTTGTCAGATGCTGAGAAGATAGCGCTCTGAAAATCCAACTGAAATAACCACAATTCTAACCCTTCGTTGTTAGAGGTTACACACTGAAACCACAGCTACCGTTTCTAGACGGTGGCCACATGATGACTGATTCCCATGGCCCAACATGTGTTTGTATGCCTAATGATATTTGGACAATATTTCATCATGCTGAGAAAGATGTTTGTTTAGCTGGACCCACTTTGGCCTCACATCAGCCTTAACAGCAAATACTAACACAGCAACTGATCATGAGCGTATCCAACACTAACATGGCCTTTAAACTTTAATAACACGTTTTTACTACTGAACACGGATCATTAAGAAAAATATATTTGGATAAATTCAACTCCATGTTAAATGGTCAGCATTTTAAATGGCTAGTCACACCAAGACATATTATCTTAGAATAATAAGGACATTTTATGCTCCAAATATCTGGAAATATCTTATAAAGCCCTTTGAATTGCCTTGTGTTGAAAGGTGCTATATAAATAAACTTGCCTTGCCTATATTCTGTTCAGCATTAGTTAGATTAACACCTGAATTAGACCCTGATTACATAGTTCTTTGGTTATGTTTTGCTAACTCTATTAGCTTGTGGAGATATTTTGGTCACTTTTCTGACACATGGAAGCTGTGTTTCTTCAGCTTCAGGTTCAGCTGCTTCTTCCCAGGGACGGGGCTTTGAGTCTGGAGAGACCTGGCTGGCCCTCTGTCCCAAACCCCTGGCCCTCTGTCAGTGCATGTCCATGGGAAAACAGGGAAGAGAAGGGGGAGGGGCTGAGATGGATGGATGAATTGATGGATAGAGCTATACTGTATATATCGGTATTTAAATATATAATAAAATGTACTTCAGAGGACAAGGAATCATCTTAATATAGAATACTTTCTGTTTTGATTACACAGATTGTCTTGATCTCATTAAAAAAAATAGAAAAGAGATGAGGGATGATTAGGTGGATGATACATTGTTTGTACATCTCTGATGGTCAGAAAGTTACATAATTCCTCTCTTTGCCTCGAGGACATTTCAGGACATTTCCCAGGACCCTCTTAGGCTCGGGTCATCGCTGTGACAACATTCTCTGAGGGACCCTGTAGTAGAAGAGAAGCTTGTGTATACATGCACACACGCATGCATTCCTGCCTTCAGATATTAGCCCCTTCGGACAGGAAGAGAGCCGCTTTGATTAAATAATCCAAATGCTTTGATTGTTTGCACGATTATAACTTAGACAAATACATGTTCAAACAGGAATAATCACACACACGCACAGATACACACACGCAAAGCAGAAGCCACGTTAACAGTGTTCTCACAAGTCACATCCAGGGTCTTTATTGTTGACATGGGCATACTACATTTCATGATTGTGAATGATGTGTTTTAGTGCCAGTTGCTCTAAATAACCAACCTATCTAATAGGAATGTTTAATTTAATAATGTTGGCATTACTATTGGTGTTCTCTCATTTGTTAAGTGTATGTATAGGAATCAGAATCAGAATCCAAGTAGGTTTACACATACGAGGACATTTCTTTGGTATAAATGGTGCATATAAAGAAACAGAAAAAATAATATGTTTTTTAAGAAAGGAGCAACAAATGGTAATATTATAAAAGCTATTTTGAAAACTTTTTTTATAGACTATTGTTACAAATTAAAATAAAGACACTATTTACACAGAATAAATATGGAAATAAAATGAAATGATATGTGACAAATACTATATCCAAGTGGAGTGCTGTGTAGATTTGAAAAGAGGTAGTGTGGAAATGTGCAACAGAGGATTTACAGTATTACTCACAGGCAAAAGATGTTCACCCTATGATCTTCCTATAATGTCCTCTCTTTCATCTACTGTCGTTTTATTTGATTTTGCATGCCCTGCAAGGCTCCTGCTCAGACAAACATATGGACCTGTTTTGTTTGTGTGTCTCTACAGGAGCGTGTGGAGTATCTTTTCCTCATCATTTTCACGGTGGAGGCTTTCCTGAAGGTAATAGCCTACGGCCTGCTCTTCCACCCCAACGCCTACCTGAGGAACGGCTGGAATCTGCTCGACTTCATCATCGTAGTTGTAGGGTGAGTGGGACGCAAACACACTGAAGTATTAAGAGCTGTGAAATGTTGTTTTAATGTCACTCGTAGTGATACCATGTAGTTTGAATGAGGGAATTATAAAAATAGCGAGTCCTGTGCAATTATATTTCACTGTCCCTCTCCAGGGTTTGTAATAGCACTACCTGACACATCTTTCAAGATCACCACATCATTGGCAGATTAATCATCGTACCTTGGTGTAATTACTGTCAACAAATGAAACTACGGCCAAGACAATTGGCAGCCTATGTTTAATAGCAGAAGTACTCACAGTGCTAGTGTCTTTCAGAAATAAGACCATATTTCCCATGAACACCTTGATTTGCTGAAAACAAGAGAGAATACTACTCTTGTCCTTGCCTACACTTGTTGACTAAAGCTTTGTTCATTTGTTCACCTCTACTTTTGAAACAACATATTTGCTAAATTCAAACTTCTGGCACATATAGCAAATTCAGAGAGGCTGATAGAGAAAAGATGTGGCCTTGTTTTCTACAGGAATAATACTTTTCTATCATTGAATGTGGTATTTATTTGGGCTATTAATAGTAAAATACCATGATACACAACTGCCTTTAAAACGCATTGCCATAAAACAATCTTCCTTCACAGAGAGTGTATTAAAGCCGCAGTAAATTCTGGTCTTCGGTGTATTGGTGAGGGCTAAACTGATTAGCTTGTTAGATGCTGATAGCAAAGCTTTGCTCTGTTTTTCTTTATCTGCAACTCAGCAACATAGCCCATCTGCTAAACCCTCTGTGCCTGTGCGCAAGTGTGTGTGTGTGTGTGTGTGTGTGTGTGTGTGTGTGTGTGTGTGTGTGTGTGTGTGTGTGTGTGTGTGTGTGTGTGTGTGTGTGCGTGTGTGTGTGTGTGTGTGTGTGTGTGTGTGTGTGTGTGTGTGTGTGTGTGTGTGTGTGCAAGGATGTGTGTGAGTGTGTGTGTGCCCTGCCTGCCAGCTGTGCTTTGTGTTGTGTGCGGGTAATGGCACAATAGCCAGTGGACCTGACAGTAACATTAATGCTATAAAAATGGTCTAATTGACGGTGTGTATGTGTGTATGCGTTTGTGTATGTGCAAGAGAGAGATTGCAAGAAAGCACCCACAGCCTGAAGGAATCCTCCACCACTCACACTCAGTGATGCTTGTTCATCGCCAGTCAAGTGTGCACTCACATTAGCCATCTCTAACTGAACATGGTTGGCTTCACCCCAAAGACACACACACACACACACACACACACACACACACACACACACACACACACACACACACACACACACACACACACACACACACACACAGTGTCTTTGGGGTGAAGCCACCACCCCGTCGGCTGGCATCATGGTGCCAGAGCCCCTGGCATAAACACAACCTTTACCACTCTTATGCAATTGTATAGCCTCTGTGGCTGCTTCCTCTGTCTTTCTCTCCTTCAGTCTCTATTACAATAATGGCTTTTATTGTGGTGGGGCATACTGTAATGTAACTATTGATCCCTGTGAATAAATTGTCTTTTAGCTCACAAACCCTGCCAAAGTAAGGTCAGGAGGTCAGATACCTGCTGCAGTTCTGGAGTTGGCAGCTTCAGTGTTAATTTGAGTGTTCTTGCCCAAGGACACTTTAGGAGTGTTTGTTACTTTTAGGGAGGATAATCCTGAATATCCTCTCTAGACTTTAATAAAGTTTTTACTTCTTTCTATTTCAAATGGCCTGATTAAAATATTATTCTGAAGAGTTCAAAATTACGCGTTTAAAATGTTGACTTCAAATACAAGCTTAGGCATGAGCTGGAATCCAGTAAGATCTAATATAAAGGCATAATATTGAAGAGTGTAGTTCTGTAGCCAGAATCCCTGCTTATGGTGCACCTGTCAACAGTGAACTGTAAGCTGTGTGTAAGGAGTCTGCAGCGATAAGAACAACACAAAGTTACCTGTTCTTCTATATAAAGGCAGCATGACTTTTCATGTTGAAAGACAGAAACCAGAGTTCCCATACAGTTTCCTCTGTGATTAAACTCAAAAAGTGATCTCTGTCAGTGATCACTGTGTATTCCAACATAATTCAAGCAGTTTTTTCAAGCTCTGACTAAGAATTTGAGTAAGACCTATTTTATCAATTAGATGTACTTTACTACTCGTTATGTGTCACGGTACAAAAAGCTGTAAGATCATCACAAAATAGACAGTAAATGGAGTTAAATCCTCAGGCTAAATAAATGCATCCAAGTATTACTATAACATAGTTAAATCAGTTGATTCATTTGTCAATTGAAAAATCAATCAATCATTTATCTTGCAAAAGTCACTGGTTCCGGCCTATCAAATTTTACATTGATTTCCTTTGCTTCCAGTGCTTTTTTTAATTTAACATATTATTTGTAATATATATGTTAAGGCTTTGGATTTGATCACAAAAAAGGGACATTTAAAAAAATGGCTAAAGAAACAACTTCACTTTTTGTGTGTGTGTGTGTGACACTCGCAATAGGATACTAAAAGCAATAGATAAATATAAGTTGCAGGCCTAATATAAGTTTTGAATGATTAAAAGCTGAAATCAGTAGTATAGTAGTATTTTGACTACTATGAAACCACACATAGCCTGTTATCTTTCTGAATGTACACAGCTTCTGCTATCTTTAGCTGTGGATGTACTCAAACCATTATATTGTGCTACACTCAAAGGCTCTAATTATCATTTAACACCCCACCATGGCAAAAACATGCACTGTGAAACGCTGGTGGTGCAAAACTGTGGATCCTCCATCGTTTTCCGTACTCTGTTTCAAAGGAGAATTAATCAAATTGAGAGGGAGGTAGTGCGAAATACAAAGGCAGAGCGAGGGGGAGAGGGAGAGAGAGGGCGATATGTTTTGAGAGGTCTTTTCAAGTGGCCATTTCATCGGTGCTAATTGATAATCCTCCATGACTAACGCACTGCTGACTGGCCTTTGAGCCACGCTAGCTAGAAAATGGTGCTGTACGGTGATTTCTAACGGATCTCAGAGAGACAAGAGAGGAGAGAGAGATAAGCTCAGCTGGATGGACATACATTTAACTGAGGTTATCACAGGGGATAGAAGCCAACATGCAGAGCTGTTCTCACATGTTGTAGTAAAAGTAGAAGTACCAGAGTGTACTCGGTTACAAGTAAAAGTCCTCTATTCAAAATGTTACTCAAGTAAAAGTTCAAAGGTTTTGGCATCTAAATATAATTAAAGTAACAAAAGTAAAAGTAGTCATTATGCAAATTGGTCCATTTCAGAATAATATATATGATATGTTTTAATTATAAATATTGATGCATTGCGTGTTTATCAAAGCTGGTAAAGGTGTAACTAATTTAAACTAATTGTAAATGTAATCCAGCTGTATCTAAAGTATTCTTTAAGTGTTGATCATATTGTTTATCATTAATCTATATCTGCAAAGTAACTAAAGGTACTCTGGAGGTAGTGGAGTAGAAGTACAAAGTAGCATCAAATCAGACAGTACTTAAATAAATGTACTTAGTTACTTAATACCACTGCCAACCTGTTTAGCGCCTTTATAGAAGAGTGTGCTTGCATCATTATGTTATTCTGCTTACTTTGCTAAGTACTGTTTGATATGTAGGCAATAATGTCATATTTTAATAGCGCATTTCTGGGACTATGTAAACATAACGGCCCTATGTGAGTGGTTGGACATCTTAATCCCTTAACATTTATTTGCTGCTGCTATCACAGCTTCCACTTTTCTTGGAAAGCTTTCCTCAACATTTTTGGATTTGATCCCATATACTTAGGAAAGCATTTCCTTCTTCCCTTTCACATTACTTATGTCATCATGTGACCCTTTTGGGGGTTGCCAAACGTATGACGCAGCAAAGATTTCCTGTAATTGGAACTTATGGCCTATACACCATCCCATTCTTATCAGCCCCAAACTAGACACAAATGAAGAATGGTAGCAGTGTCCACAAACTTTTGGCCATATGGTGAACATATATTGAAGTTTGGGGGCGGCCATTACCCAAAGACTTGTTGGTGACTTCATAGAAGCTAATAGCTATCAAAAGCACATCATAATACATTTTTCACTGTTTTATAGAGATGATAATTAAGATTATTATGCACCTGCTTTAAGTACAAGATAGATTACAATGGAGAAACAGGGGAGGTCGTGTGACATCACAGATGTACGTGTGTGTTATATTCATTGTGACAGTGCTATGTGCACACACTTATTTATAAACACATTTTAGGTGTCTCTCTTCACTACAGACACACACAGTGTTCTGTCCATTCATTAAAGTCGAGCGCCTCACATTTCCTTATCAGTGAGGGGACGGATAAAACACTTTTTATTATTGTGATAGAGAGTTTACTAATTAAGTTGTTTTTATTTTCTACTGTTATGTTTTCTCCCGGAAGCACATTTGATTTTGTGTGCAGATGTCTGTACCGCTGCTTCTGCTTTAAAATGTTGGACACAAAGTAGTTTGATGTCAACATTTACAACACTTTTGCTGTTTTATAGATTATGATAAAGATGATGTACTTGGTGCAGTTTAGGATTGACAGCTGTAGCAACAGAGGAATAGTAAAAAGGAGGTAATTATGACAACAACTGCAGATATTCATCACTGTCATATGTCCTGTAACCCTTTTAATGTTCTCCCCTATCTTAGATATTCTCTAGAATGTGGAAATGGGATGTCCACCTGACGATGATGCCTATTGAAGTCCCTGCTTCTTGTCTTGCAGGTTATTCAGTGCGATCTTGGAGCAGGCCACAAAAGGCGACGGGGCCACTCCTATTGGAGGGAAGGCAGCGGGCTTCGATGTCAAGGCTCTGAGGGCCTTCAGAGTACTCAGACCCCTCAGACTGGTCTCTGGAGTACCCAGTAAGTACTGAGAGAAAGGAAATCAAATAAAAAAGACGGAAAATAAAAGAGAGTAAAAAAATGCTTCTCTGAGGACCAGGTGTGAATGGTGATTGGATGAGGTGGGGGATAAATGAAACACAGATTGGAGCTGATATTGCCCTCAGAGGCACACACACAGTGACACACATAAATCCACACACACTCCTCTTATCAGGTGCTCAGACCGTAGTGGCAGTGGATGAGTTGTCTGTCAGCCTGTCTGTGTCAGTGACTTCAGGAATCAATAACCCAACAGGACAGAAGACAGGAAGAGGATGTCGTGGATGAAAGCTGAGCGCTCTTTGCACCTGTGTGATTGTGTGTGTCATCTCTTGTGATTACAGTAGCAGGCAAACCCACAGCTTGCTAGTGTACATCACACACTCTTTTTGTTCTGGTAAAAAGCTGCATGCTCCATTTGCTGTAGACTTTACAAAAAGGAATTATCTGTAAATTAACTATGTAATAAATCTGTTTGTTTACTTAAATCTGTATATGATCCAAGCATATCATGTCATGACCAAACCAATTATTTTGAACCAAATAAATAAAAATAAGCTCACATTTTATTCTCCAAAGATAATTGTGACCAAAAGTTAATATTTGGAGGATAAAATGTGAGTACGTTTTACTGTTTCACAACAATAAGCCTCCTTAACAGAATGTATTTCAATCAGCGTATCTGTGAGTTATTAGTATGCCGTACTCTAAGCCTTTTTATATGACAATAAGGTTTTCATAATTAACAATACTGCGTGTCTCAAGACTCTTTTTAATTTAAATACATTCTGATTTCCCTTAAATAAGGTTGTGTTAACCCTTTATGTGTTCTCAGCAGTTCCTCTGTGTGTGTGCTGCAGGTTTACAGGTAGTGTTGAACTCCATAATCAAAGCCATGGTTCCTCTGCTCCACATCGCCCTGCTGGTCCTCTTCGTCATCATCATCTATGCCATCATCGGCCTGGAGCTCTTCATGGGCAAGATGCACAAGACCTGCGCTCATGAGCAAACAGGTACACACACGCATACACACCGGAGTCTGAGGGGCACAGGGAGAGAATATACAGTATAGACGATTGCGCACTGATGCACAGATTCAAATACAAACATGCATGGTCAAACACATACACTCTCATACCGCACCTGAATGGTCAAATACGATTTGAAGCGAATACTCAACTGTGTGTGAAGCACGCTTCAGATAGCATATATTCACATTTCAACCCAAGAGATGGACATACAGGTGCAAACGTAACGCCACAAACCTTTCAAACTCAAATAAAACACATCAGTTAGACACCACCTATATGCCATCAAAGCAGAGAGAGTATGAATAATTTGGGTGGTAATTGAAACAGCAGCTGCCATAAACGATGAAAACCATTTTCAGTAAAGGTCCCTAGGTATACATGGACTTAAGTGTTGTTCTGGTGATGTTATAGGTCCCATGAGAGGCATTAGCTTTGCCCTGGGTTAGTGCTGGTGGAATACTGTGATATCCTATACATCACCCTGGGGGACTTGTTTTGTACAATTAGCAACACGCTTTCACATTGATCCTTTTTATGGCTGCTCTACAGTCCACTGTGTCCTTGTTTAACCCCTTTTCAAGGAAATATTGCTTTTTTTTCTTTTAGATAAATGATTTATAGATTACGTTGAAAGATTTAGTAGAATTGCAAAGCGGGAGTTATTTTATACTCCCTCTTGGTTTATTGCATAGTGTGAGGTGACTTACGGTTGGATCACTTCCAACAAGTGAGGGGGCATGAGACCCTCACTGAGGAGTCATCAGTACAAAAGATGAGCAACTATATTAGAAGATTTTTATAAAAAGTTGATGGTACGATATGGAAATTCCACAATAAATCACTTCCTGTTGAGAAATGAACAGATATAGAAGTTAAACCAAAGTTGTATTATTTAATGAAGAGTACAAGCATTCAAGCTGGAAGGACGAATGTCTACAGCACTTGCAGAAGAATCACAAGTCATTTATATAGAGAAACAGGGAACAAAGGGGGACAGGCACCGAAGTAACTGACATTACAGCCTACCAAATGGGAAACAAAGGGACATAAGCCATGTTAATTATAACATGAAACATCTGTATGATAATTTGCCTGACAATGGTCACAGTGGCACCCTTCAGTCTGTTGAATGCTAGAGAACAGAAGGAAGCCAAACATGTGTTTTAAAGGTGTGAAGAAGCCTCTGGGTCACAGCCAGAGTGAGCAAAGGAAAAAACAAGTTTACAAAGAACTGGTCTTACTGAATTGAATTACTCTTTAATTATACATATCATTATAATAACCGTCTTTCTCTTCCTCTTATGTCTTTTGTCACAGGCACCTTTACGGAAAAAAAGCCGGCACCATGTGCGCCTGAGGGAGCTTACGGTCGAAATTGTATGCACAATGGAACCCACTGTAAGGTGGGGTGGGAGGGCCCGAACGACGGCATCACTAACTTTGACAACTTTGCCTTCGCCATGTTGACGGTGTTCCAGTGTATAACCATGGAGGGCTGGACGGAAGTGCTGTACTGGGTGAGACGGACACCACAACAGTGTCTAGGTGTGTGTGTGTGTGTGTGTGTGTGTGTGTGTGTGTGTGTGTGTGTGTGTGTGTGTGTGTGTGTGTGTTGTGTGTGTGTGTGTGTGTGTGTGTGTGTGTGTGTGTGTGTGTGTGTGTGTGTGTGTGTGTGTGTGTGTGTGTGTGTGTGTGTGTGTGTGTGTGTGTGTGTGTGTGTGTGTGTGTGTGTGTGTATTTGTGAAGAGAGTACCATCTGCTCAGTGTGTGTTGTCAATGTACTGTATCTGTTACATCAATGCCACATGAGTGCTTTTGAAAAATTGATATAAAAAATAACACTTCTCTAAGAAAGGCAGGTATGAACACAATAAGACACACACACATTGCGTTTGTGAGCGTGTTAGCTCATATCTCGGGATAAATCGATTCCGACAATACACTGTGTAATTGAAGGTGCCGATTCATTTGGAACGTGTGCAGAATCCTGAATCTTGATTCAAGTGAAAACACACACACATCCAGCCAGCCAGCGAGGCGTATGAACACACACAAACTGTCCCTCCCTCAGTGAATGGGCAGAAGCAGGCAGCAGCCCTGTCCAGCTAAATAAACCAAAGGATTAGTCTGTGCTGTTAATCGATGTTCAGGAGGGTTCCATCTGACTCCACATGTGCTGGATTTCTTAGCATTTTATTCAGACCTGGAGGTTTGGCTCTACACCCAGATTATTATTTATTGATGTCCCAATAATTGGTGGTAAGGGCTCAAAGACTTGAAGAGTGTTTTTTTCAATTATTTATATTTGTTATGTGATGTTGCCACTACTACCCTGTGTAACATAAGCGCTGTTATACCATAAGCCATGTGTAACATCAGGCTCAAAAACATCCTTTGTAACATTAGTCAATATGTCACTATCATGTTGCTGATTGGCAATATGTGAACTTTGAAAGAGATTATCAACAATTGCCCATATCAAGTCATTATAAGATCAAATAATATAAGATAGACCTTTATTGATCTCCTTAGGGAAATGCAGACCTATTGCAGCAACACAGTGAGACACAGGACAGTACAGATAGAGTTCACACAAGGATAAAAAGAATACAAATAAGATGACATTTGTAAGGCACAGTTTCAATTTACAATCAGAGCAACGATGTTATACAAAATAATCTCTTGAATCCACACCCTGCTGATGTCCACCCGCTGAGTATGTACATTTTAAAGCCTCATTACAACCAGTTTGCAGTCTGTTTTCCTTAGATCTTATATAGAATTATCTTTAAACAATTTGGTACAGTTGTAGATATGATTTATATTGTGATATTAAATATAATACAATACAATGTTAAATGGAACATAATGCGGTGATATAGCTGCACTGAGTGCACACAGACTTTTAAAAGGGAGCTATTAATGTTAAAAGTGTTTTAAATAAAATGTTCATACTCTTTAATAAATGTTCACTCACCTATCTTCAACGTTAATCTATTGCTAGCAGAACGTTGAAATGTTTTATCATTTCAAAGCTCTTTTCTCTAAATGCTGTGTCTCACTGCGAGTGTTACAGATGAATACTGTCTATTAGGATTGTGAAAACAACTCTATATAACCAAATGTCCAGTGGGCAATAACATTGTGCTAATTTCCATTCATTTAATAGCCTCAATTTGCACTTCTAATGTGTGATGATTATATTCAGGTCACAGAGCTCAGCATCCTTTTCTCTGAAATTGAAATAATGATGTTATCTCCGAAGGTTATTTAACAACGCTTAAAGCATTTATGACTCTATTTTGTTTCCGTTATCCTAAAGGACTCTTTTCCATCTCGATGAATGAATAATAAGTCCACTTCACAAAGAACGATTCTTATCCAGTATCTAGAGTTTTCACATGATGTACTAATCCTAAGTAGGATCCTAGCCAGAAGATACATGTTTCTGCTTGCTAGGTGTGTTTTGGTAAGTATGAACATCTTACAAAATAATCAAAAATATGTAAAATTAGGATGCATCTGATCAGAAAATATTTGTTCATATTGTCAATAGAGAGTTTTAAAATACCTTCAAACCTTTGTTAACATGTGATGAATGACATCCTAGGTTTCTGTAAGATCACTAGTGATTTAGCTTTCAGAGAAACTGATTTTAAGCTCTGTGATGAAAATAATACATATCGTAAGAGGGACAAGGTGGGGCTAGCCATCACAATATTAAAGGATACAATTATGTATTAGATTAGTACATCTCTAAAGAAATTCATTTGCAATGGAATAATGTGTTACACTGGTAAGATCTGGGAAAGGTTTTTTTTAGCTATGTCTGTTTGGTTTGGAGTTGTGTGTGTGTGTGTGTGTATGTGTGTGTGTGTGTGTGTGTGTGTGTGTGTGTGTGTGTGTGTGTGTGTGTGTGTGTGTGTGTGTGTGTGTGTGTGTGTGTGCAAGTTCTGTGTGTATGTTTACACACGGAGCAGAGAGCTTACTCTACACCCCTACTGTAACTGCCCTGTCTGCTGCCACCTCCTGTGTGCACACACACACACACACACACACACACACACACACACACACACACACACACACACACACACACACACACACACACACACACACACACACACACACACTGTGCTAATCATACAATTCATTTTTAGAGCGCTTGGGAATCCAGCTGCCTTGATAATGAATGGGACCTATTTGTCCGGAGTATGTATGATTATGGGAAAACACTTAGACAACACCAAACCTTTTCTTGTGTTGGGCCTTGCGTTTCCATAGTTTTCATTGTCTCACATTTTCAGGACTATAGATTAATGACATCCAACATCTGCTGTGATAGCAACCCTCGTTTCTTCTGTTGTCTCGTTCTGTTCAACATGTGTCCATGTGACAGCCCCTTAATTTATTTAATTGATACACATGCAGTAGATCACTTATAACAGTGTGTCGTTGTTTTTATGGACAAATGTATAGCATTAACACTCATTGTCAATTAAGGGCAATCCACCTCTCCAAGATAACTATTATCAAGCAATTGTGTACTTATGTAAACACACACTTTAAATAAGGGCTCAGGATTTTTATTGAGTTACAAAAGCAGTTAAGTGTTGTTTAGTGTCTGCTTGATTGTGGTTGGTCCAGCCTGTGCTCTCTAACACCAGACACCAGGGTGTATACACACACTTTATCACACAACACTGCCACTCCTGCTTGGCCATATCTTCCTACTGCTCTTTTTAACATGCACTGCTCTTTCCTTTTTCCTTCCTGTCATCTTTTCCTACCTTGATTCCTTCTCTTACACACTTTCTGTCCTTTACCTCTACTGCCCCCTCTCATTCGTTCTCTCTATGTACCTTACCCATTGTCCTCACCCCTCTCTTCCTTCCCTCCCCATTGTCCTTCCTCCACCACCTTCTCCCTGTTAACCGCTCTCTTCTCTCCTTCTGTTTCTCTCCCATGTCTCTCGTCTCTCAGATGCAGGATGCTATGGGCTATGAGCTGCCATGGGTCTATTTTGTCTCTCTCGTCATCTTCGGCTCCTTTTTCGTTCTCAATCTCGTTCTGGGGGTGTTGAGCGGGTAAGAGGTTGTGCTGTGGTCATGTGTGTACAAATGTCTGTATGTGAGTTGTTTGTGATGAGGGTGTACGGTGCAAAGTGTTTAATATGTGATTATTGACCATGCAACAAGACTCCCTGGAACAGACATTTGAAGTGCAGTTTGTGATTGATTCGGAGGATCCATTGAACCACTAAATAGTGGAATAGAATGGAAATAATTCATGGTTATCCACTATAAAAGCACACCACTTATTGGGCATTATTATGGTTATTATGATTATTTTTTAGTTGAAGTTAACTTCACATGGCAGTATTAATTAAGGTAAAACATGATTTTCTTCTAAATATAACGTCACATAAACTCTACTCTCTTAACATTTTGATTATATATAATATCCTTCTTTGGAGACCATAGTAGTAATAAGCTGCGTAGTTCAACTGCTGTATAAATCCAGAATCCAATGCTGTAAAATGAACATGCTACAGCCTTTAATACTGTAATCCCTGTCATCAGCATTTCAATGGGAGACTACTACACACTGAAGGGATTTATACAAGAGTTGCAACACTTGGCTAAAGAGTCAAAGTGGGCTATATTGGTGAACATTCCGTCCCAAATATTTCGGTACAGCTTAATATACAAGTAGTCTTATTAGCATTGATTTGGAGATTATTTGGTACATTCAATTGAAGCCATCAAATGCAAATTAGAGGAGGGGGATTCAGGCAGTCTCACATCAGCAGTCTTCCAGTACAAGTAGAGCTAGATCTCTTCTTGTAAAGATCTTAATGCTCTACAGTCGAGGAAAGATGAACTGACTGAACTGAGCGCTCTCTCCAGCTTCACTCAGTCCTTTGTCAGAAGCCTTACAGAGAGACACATTCACACACAAGCACTTGCTGGACTCTTCTTTTGAAACGTTTTTTTTTTCCAAGGCTCAGTTTTAAGATACCCCTTTTCCTCCTTAAAGAGATGACTGCATAAACAGATCCGCCATGTTTGTTTACATGTGTTGGTTATCGTCATACATGTTTGTCTCATGTGCTTATCAGCATCTGCTTACATTGTTTGTGTATGTGCAGCAGCGTGTGTATTTGTATGGAGGCGTGTGTATGTTTTGTTTCACTAAATGCTGCTCCAGCGGCTGGGTGCAGTTTTACCCCGCTCGGCCAAGTCACACTATTTTAGTACAAGCACCACCCGGCCTGTAGGGACACACTGGGGGTATTAATAATTCACCCCTCAGGTCAGCTATAGAGATGGAACTTAAAAAAGCTTGCACAACAGGGAAAACACAACAGGCAAAAAAGGTTTTTCTGAGGACAGAGTGAAGTCTGAAAGGAAACATGGCATTAAAAATGGAAATTATAGGATGGAAGCCTGCACTGAATAGGGACTATAATTCTTCATAGAAGCTATAACCGCCATAACAATATCAATTAAATAATAGCAATAATAAACATTATAATATTTTACACCACAAATTTGATTTAAAAATGAAAAGATTTTTTAATTAAATCTAAGACTCATTTTTTGTGGCTTTTTATAATAAAATCCTTTTTTTTTTGCATCAAGAGAGAATAAGCTGTCATGATGACAGTAATAATGCAGAGTGTCCGCGGGGTCTTAAAAAGTATTAAAAGTTGATAAATCAATTTAGCGAAAATTAAGGCTATTAAAAAGTATTACAAAGTATTAAACGGCATTTTCCAAGGTATTACATTTGTAGCTTGTTTTCAATAAGTATATAAATTGTCCAAAGAGATTGTATTCTAAAGTCTGCCTGAATGTAATCATTGCGTAGGTGTGTAGTGTGATTCTTTGTAGTTTATTTATGGCATCCCGTTGGATTGGACGTCATCTGAACAGGACATCGCACGCTCACTGCTTGATAGCGCGCGAAGGTCCGTTTACGCCGGTTGTTAAACAACATCGTTATGGGGAAATGCAAGTTTGCGTCCAAATGGTTGGAAGATAAGGAGGAAGGACAATCAATACTGTATATAGTAAATGTGAGGTAAAGTGTGTCGCCAATGTAACCGGTAAGAACTCGAAGTGGCGATGAGGTCTTAAAATGTATGGAAAGGGTCTTAAAAAAGACCTTAAAAGGTATTAAATTTGACTTCAGGATTCCTGCATATACCCTGTAATGTCTAATCCATGGGAGTCTTGCTGCACTGTCTTCAAGTGTCTAAAATGCCTTCTCTTCACAGGGTTTTAAATGAACTCTTTTCGGGGGATGTAAGCTTGTAACCTTCCCTTACATGCCCTCAACTGATGGTGTTTAAAGTTGAATACAGCCGGTCAGATACGCTGCCATGTGGCCCATTAAGTGACTCTGACAAATACTATAAATGCATTATCCCAGCAGGAATCCTGCAGAAGGATACAGTTCCATCTGTTGGGAACTTTCACTGAGGATCTAACCCCTTCCCTCTGCCCCTCCTCCCTTCCCTCCTAACCTCCCTTACTGCTCTCTACTCGGCTTATTTTCCTCCCTCCATCTTTACCTGTCTCCTCACACCCTTCTCCCTTGCATTCATCCTTTGTCTCCCCTCCTGTGTCCCACGCCTCCGTCTCTCCACCAGGTGAATGACGCAGTAGGTTACAGTTGGCCCTGGGTGTATTTTGTCACCTTAATCATCATCGGATCCTTCTTTGTGCTAAACTTGGTTCTGGGGGTATTGAGCGGGTAAGGGCAAGGTCAAAGGTCACTTGAGACTAACTTCTTTCCCTCTCCTTCACACTGTCGTTCTTAGAGAGCTTTGCTGTCTGTCTTTCCTGCTTCTGAAAGGAAATGGTGTTGTGTTTTTTTTAACTGGTAAAGGAAGGTATTTTCAAGAAACAAAATACATACCAGCACACAAAAGGGAAATTTAACATGAATTCATTTTATCTACGATTATGTCCAATATGTTTTAAGAACTACATGTATGTGGATTACGCAGTACCACAATTATTTTTCCAACCACCCCAATATCGTGAATGCAATATCTCTGTAACGCATGGAGGGTCATTTAAAAAAAGAAATCGGGCACAAATGTCAATTTAGTCTTAAGAATGAACTGATTAGTAGTCAAAATGAAATTTCACTGTGATCTTGTAAACATGTTTTGGACATACCTTAGAAATGGACTTGCTTCTTGTAATTTCACGATTTCAGGAGTATCTAACAAAATAAAATGATGAATTAATGGCAATCTGGACATGCATGGATTCAAACCGCGACAAGTGGGTGAAATCATTCATGCCATAAGCAGGTATTTTCTAATATGATTTATAGAAGAAACAGAGCTTAGTGTGGATTGTTGTTTTTCATGTTTCTTCACATGCCGTAGGTTAAGATGAACTTAAGAAGTGAAGTGTCTCACCCCTGACTGACTGACCTGTATCTGACTCGATACCCACAGTGATGTGGCAGCAGCATTGTGGGAAAAATAATAGAGGTCTATCTGGTCCAAACAGCTTGGGGGGTTTGGCTGTCTGACTCTTTGTCTGACTTCTGACTAATGATGCTGTCATCACACTACACAGCCTGACCTTTTACCAACTGCTTCCTCCATGCAGTGTGTGTGGGTCTCAGATTGGCATACTAACTAATAGCCAAACAGGAAGAAGGAGAGCGACGGGGACAGAGACAGAAACATGGGGTGTGACGGTGTTTGTCTGTATTTGATGTAATGTGTAAATAGAAAGAAAGAAGCATGAGGCTGTCTGAGAGAGAATGAGGGGACAAATGAAGAAAATCCAATGACCATTTACGGGGAAAAAGAGAGATGTTGAGAATAGTAAATTGAGAGTGATCACTGAGAGTTCTGCTCTCACAAACACACACATAGTATACTACACACTGACACACACAACCACAGATCAATAAGATTGGGTCTAATGTTATGACAAGCACAACTGTAGCAGTTTGTCCTAATGCTCATTGATCTGCCTTTTGTGTATGTGACTGTGTTGTCTGTAGTTGTGATTTATTCTATCATTCTACCAAATGTCACACAGAAAACACACTGACAGGCTCACACACATTCTCTGATTCTGTTCCAAGCAATAGACTGACTGTAGAAATCTATGAAAAATAGACACATAACATTATGGATCCTGTGATGCTCTCCAGGGAACGTGTTTGGATGCTGTAAGTGTGAAACTTCCATAGCTGCAAAGCCCCACTTAAATAAACATTATGGAGTGTGTATTTGCACCCGGGAGAAAATAGCAACACGACAGGTATTCAGCTATTTACACATAACTGTATTAGGTTAGTTGAAATCATTAATATTAAGTTGAACCTAATATTTAGAATTTCAACTTTATAGTATTGCTACCAACTTACCTTATACAATTATGTCTAGTTTGTTGACCTAATACATTTAATTAAAGTCAACGTTACAGTTTTTTCAGTGTAGTCACCCGGGTGCAAATAGGATCTGCCATTATTGTAATGTATTATCTAACATTATTAAAACACATACTGTATGGCATACGCAGCTTACTTTTCCGTGATTTCCAAAGCCAAGATGACATGGTGTGAGATAACTGACCATCAGGGAACTCCACTGACTGCATCTTATTTAAAATAAGAAGCAGGGAGGCTCTTGCAATGTCAATGGACCTTGGAGTGTGTATCCGTACACATTTTAGCTGAAAATGTTCTCAAGCCTCACAGCTCCTGTCAGCTCTCCTCCCGATGAATTATTTGGCTCCAAGCTGACTTTGACCTTCCCCTAATGCGCCGATTAATCAAATGTTCTTTAATTCTTTCTTTCTTCCTCCTGACACCTGGAAGTAATTTCACCAGGTTTCATCATATAATTAAAATATTTCCCACTCTCCTAACATCAATTTTAGTTGTCTTAATAATAATAATAATAATAATAATAATAATAATAATAATAATAATAATAAATGGCTCTTTTTGTCATTTCACAGTACAGGTACTATGTAACGAAATTGTTCCTCTGCATTTGACCCATCCTAGTGTTAGGAGCAGTGTGCTGCCGTGGACGGCGCCCGGGGAGCAGTGTAGGGAACGGTGCCTTGCTCAGGGACACCTCGGTAGCACTTGGTCTTGCCGGGACTTGAACTGGTGACCTTCCAGTTGCCAAGCCAAGTCCCTATGGACTTCGCCACCACCGCCAAAGTTAAATCAACTTTGCTTATGTCCTCTGTGTCCACATGACATCCAAAATCCTGACAAACCCTAAAAAGCTGGCATCATTCTATATCAATAAGAATTAAAAAAAAGATAACCAGATTGCTCCATAATTAGTAGCTAAAGGACTTTAAACACTTAGTTTATGTTAAGTCTACTTTTACACACTTCAATCATTTTATTTTCTACATAAAGAATTGCAAATGCTGCATAAAAAGGTAGTTAAAGCATCAAATAAATATTTCAGTTAACCTATCTATCGTCATTCCAACCTAAAAAACCTCTGGGTCGTGACGGAAAGAAAGAGATGCCAGAGGTGAGGGGCTCGGTGGAGCGGGACGCCCTCGCTGCAGACCCAATTCTCCTCCAATTTGACGGGAGCAGGCTGAGGCACTGCAGCCGGGGGGGAGACCCTGGGATGCACTGCACAAACTCGCAGCAGGCTCGGGAGCACCTGGGGCCCTGGGACAGCAACACTTATAAGACTAATCAGCAAAGATTATTACTAAATCCAGTCTTTATATATTTTTTTTAGATAAAAAAAATCTTTATGAACTTATAACAATGGGATAAAGCAATGCATGTATATGACACTAGCCTAAATGTGTGAGGGATCCTCTATTAATAGACAACAACTCTGCGGTTTTGTCTATTCATCAGCAATGTTTGGCTGCAGGTGATACTTTCAGAATAAAAGCATCCTGACTCAGCTTAAAGTAACTGACACTTACTGTAAGGGAAATTTGTTAAGTGTTTTTTTCAAAACCCTCTCCTCCTCTAAGTTAATAAAACTAGCACTCATCCACACTTGGTCAGTCATTCGGGGTGTCTCAATTCACATTCTCACAGTGCACCAGGCTTAATTATTAGAATACGGCTTCATCAACTCCGACACTTTGTAAATCAGTGGGAACAAGTTTACACAAATAGATAGATTGTCAATGATAGGGTATAAACAGTGTATTACTGATGTGATCAAATCAAATTGCAGCTTATTTGACGTTGTGTGTTTATGCAGGCGTTACAATGTCTACCAACTTTTAAACAGAACTGATTGGAACTGTATATCTCTTGGCTGCTTAACAATATATCTGTATGAATTGGATTGTCTGAGCTGTGAATCCAGCTCTCTGTCTGTCTGGGCGTGCTTCATCTGTATTAGCATACTAACACTGTATCTCCTTGGCAGAGCTTGTTTCTCTTCACATGTTTTTTCTCTATTTAGCAGGTTTTCCCTCCTTCCTGTCCTGACACACTGAATAATGTTCTGTATTATCACAGCATTGTCACATGATTTGCACTTCAGTTTAGATGTTCAGATTCTTTTTTCTCTCCCTCTGTCACTGTTTCCTTTCTATCCCTCTTTCTATCCCCCAAACCCCTCCATCCTCTTTCCCTCCTCCCAGAGAGTTTTCCAAGGAGAGAGAGAAGGCCAAAGCACGTGGTGACTTCCAGAAACTCAGAGAAAAACAGCAGCTAGAGGAGGACCTCAAGGTAGGCGGTTCTTTCTCTGCATGTTTAATTGAGGCTGCAAGAGTCTTTGTCTGCAACTAAGATTCAATGTTAATTACTGCCAGGTAACCATAGAAATCAAAGCAAACTTTATTTAAATACATTTTAATAGGTAACACATTCTTTACAGATGGATGGAGGAGGATAAAAGAGTAAATCAAAGAGACAGCCAAGTGTATATATTAAGATTAATTTGAAAATAATAACATTAATTAACATTAAGAATAAAAAAAGATGCTGTCTGTTGTTGTTACTAATATATGTCCTTAAATCATCTCAGTTTTTAGTATAAGAATAGGGAACATTGAGAAACATAATGAATGCCATAACATTTGATAGAAACAATGTTTGTTTTGTTGATAAGCACTGCTAACCAGCCAGTGTTTTCTTTGCTTGTGTGTTCATATGTGTGGTGAATATAGGGCTATTTAGACTGGATCACTCAGGCTGAAGACATTGACCCAGAGAATGAAGAGGAGGGCATGGACGATGACAAACCTAGAAACCGTGAGTACTACAGTGTGTGTGTCTGTGTGTTTAACGGTAAAATATGCCAAGGGCGAGAGTCGATCTATTTACTTCCTGCAGTTCGCCTCGGGATGCAAGTGTGTGTGTGTGTGATTTATGAATTGTTGTGTGGTAGTATTGGCATATATAAGAAGGTGTGAGGTTAACTGCGCACGTGTTTGTGTCAGATTTAGGGTTTAGTCTGTAGGTCTTGAGCTCACTGCAGTCTCATCGTCATTGAATGACGATGAGACTGCAGTGAGTGACTGATGGAGTGGCTGACAGTCTGCTGCTTTGGCTAAGAACCCTCCCTCAAAACCTGTTTAGATATTAGTGGAATGTGTCAGACTGCAGCTAATAGCCTCTGGACACACACACACACACACACACACACACACACACACACACACACACACACACACACACACACACACACACACACACACACACACACACACACACACACACACACACACACACACACACACACACACACATACATACAGGCACACACACAAGCACACACACTGTAGGTATACACTCTTTTGTGACAGAAATGTTCACACACAAATGAACACCCTGTCTCTCTCCAGTGAGACGCAGCCACACATGGTACAAGTCTCCCCAGGAGTGAGCTTTGTTTCCTGGGGAGGGAGAGTTCAGCAGTGGCCTCTTTTGACCTGGGGGTTTGATCTCAGAGAAGATAGATCGAAAAAGAGAGAGGGATAATGCGAAAGAGAGGCAGCGGTTTGACACAATGCCTGTACTATATCTGAACAAGCATTGTTCAGTATGTGCTGTGAACTCTGTTATAACTGCTTGGAGCTCCGTTTCCTCACATCGATGATGAATCAATGAGTGATGAGGACTAAATATGCAGAGGTGGCTGCGGCTCATTCTGAGAAACACTGATGATCGGCAAGGGAAGAAGATAATAATAAAAAAATTATGATCTAATCTTTCAGTTAGGCTCAAGACATTACTATGGTTGAATGAGCAATGACCCAATTTACATGAAAATAAGGCACAGCACTCCTGTGGCTAATCCGTAACAAATCTTCTTGTTTTCACCTGTTAGCGCCGTGCTCCTCTGGGCCAATCAGTGTGGCAGAACACATCAGCAGTGTGTGGCGCATTAACAAACAAACAAATACAGTATGTGGCCCCAATTGGGCACACTATTTTTAAATGTCACATCACACAATTAGTGCCTCTTAGATTCATATTGTTTTTGTTCTAGATCACTGACATAATGTGCTATGTCAAGACAAGCCCAAGATAGTTGTAGTCTGTAGTTAGTTTGTCTCGTGCGAGATTAAATCCATTACAATTATTAAACAGGATACATTTTTTAGATGACAGCATGATTGATACATGTGATCAGAAGTTATCCACCTCAAAGATCAATCATCCCTCTGTTTGTGAAGGTAAAAAAAAAGAAAGCACTTGCTCTCTTATGGCTATGTCTCGCCCCCTCCTCGATGGGATGGATCCTCCTTTGGGAAGATGAATGAGGGCAGTGTGTGTCTGTTGCCCAAGGAGCACACACACATACACACACACACACAGATATGGAGAATAGAAGAGAGGATTGCAAAGAGAGAGAGATGAGAGGGAGAATAGATGTTGAGATAAAAAGGGGATATAAATATTGTGTGTGTGTGTGTGTGTGTGTGTGTGTGTGTGTATGTATGTGTGTGTGTGTGTGTGGGTGTGACAGTACCTGGGACAAGAACAAGTCATAGTACTTGACCACACACTCGTACAGAGACCACACACACCTTTCTACCTGTCTATCAATCATCCCATCTTCACATGATAGGCTACGGCTAGGCTTTATGATTATGAATAGTGTGCTCACATGAAGACAAATCACTGTGTGTGTGTGGGGGGGGGGGGTTGTTTCAGGTAAAAGAGTAGTCAATGTAATTCACTATATTGATTTTCACAGGTTTTAGTGAGTTTGCAGGGGTCAAAAGTTTCTAAAACATTTCAGCTATCCTTTCTGAGTCTGCAATCCTGTCTGACACACATACACACTCAACTGTGATGATATGTGATGTGATATGAATGTTGTGTTAGTGCTTTATTTATTTATGTGTATATATATCATTTGATGTGTTTTCGCTGCAGTATGCACATTTGCCTGTCGTCTCATGCATACTGCATGTGCATGTCTGTGTGTGTTGCATGTGGTCACCCTCTGCCATCTTGTCCTTGCATGCCACCCTCTTGTCTTGGCTTCCTGCTGCTGTTGTCTGGCAGGAGTGTCCCCTGCCCACCTGGGGGAGAACAGCAGTAAGCTGGCCTGGCTCAGCCCCTCTGCTGACCCTCAGGATCAGGATGGTATGTGTGCATCTCTGTGCCGGGACACATGTTTCCATGATTTTTGCAGTCGTGATCATGGTTGTGTTTGTCTTTCATAGTACGACTGCTTAGGAGAAAGGGCGGTGGTCAACATACCTCCTTAAGAGCATACTGAGGAGTAAAATACTTCAGGTATCTTGTTTATCTGTTAGTTTAGTTTAGTTTATTTGTTTATAGTGTCGTGGACAGTCCCCATTGATCCACTGTCACAAAAAACTGTAAATGGGGCAGCTTTAGCCAACATGGCTAATTTCCCAGTTATAAAACTATATTTCAATTATGCCCACTCTAATGTTCCATTTATTTGTGATAATCATGGAGAGTATATAAGATGGAAGTGTAGCTTTATTTTGCTAATCTAAACATTTTTTCAATAGATATGTTGCTTCTTAAAAAAGTGTCAGCATACTTCAAACCATTCTGTCATGGTCTTTTTTTCCATCTCCACTAATGTAGGTAGTATGAGAAAAATAAAGCCAATTTTGAACATTAAAGCATGTAAACATGTCACAGTAGAGGCACTAAATACTGATATGGACCTCAAATTAAGAATAATACGGCCCCTTTAAAGTCTTTGGCCTTTATAAAGGTAAATTAGTAAATTACAAGATACATTTTTGATTGTGTATTAATGGCATGAGTAGATTGGCTGTCCTGCGTTTGCTGTTTGACATTGTCGTAATAGATCATAAAAAGCTTTTTTATTTTAGAATATGTCATCTCTGTTTGCACGTGTAGCTTAGCATGTTTTTGTCTTTAAATGTCCTGTTTTTTCACTTGAAATATGAAACCTACTTGTGAGGATTGATTTTTATGTGTGCGCTCCTTGGATGTAAATGTTTGTGTACCGGATGTTTACTATATTTTATGCTTCATATCTCTGAATGCAGTTGTATTTATTCTACAGATAGATAGATAGATAAATAGAAGGATACTTTATTGATCCTACATTGGGAACTTCTTGTGTTACATGAGCAGCACAGTACACATTGACTCACTCAAAGGATATTGCTTTTACAGTATGCTTGGACAATCGTATGTAAATCACTTGAAAAGAATGAGCTGAATCCAACAATATAAATATCTCGGTACAGAGGAGCGAGCTGAGGAATGTTCTGGTTCACAATGATGCAAATACTATGAGAGGAAGGGCTGAAGTGGACAGCAAACAATGGCTTTTGTGAAGGCCAAGAGGAAGGAGATTATGATGGAGAGATATATTGTACGTAGTGCTGCTGATTGAAAAGAGCACTGCAACCTGCTTTTGAATGTTGACACTCGAAAAACACGAGTACTTCCACTTTCCCTCTCTCTTTCTGCATTGTAATTTCTCTTTACCATAGAGAATCTGGCAATGAAACAGACTAAATGGTACAAAACAGAAAAAGGTAGTCATATTTTTTGTCCAAAATGATATTAATAGAGTGATGTAATGAGGTGTGACTGTAAAGAAGAAATTAGTTTTCTTTGCAGAAGCGTTCATGGTTCCTTCCAACAGGTCGTGCATGTCATCAGAGGCGCTATGAGTAAATGTGATTATGTGTTTTTGAATATGATGTTTGTGTGCATTTCTGTATTTGTGCTGATTGTAAGTGCTATTTGTGTGTGTATCCATGTGTGTGTGTGTGTGTGTGTGTTTGTGTTGTTGAGCCGTGCTCTCTATCCCCAGGTAAAAGCCGCTTTCATTCTCTGCGTGGAGCCGTGAAGAGAAATGCGGCTTTCATTCGTAAGGCGTGTGCGTCTGTCTGCATGGTTCAACACTAGTTAAACATTTACTGGAAACGTTATTTTAGACATGCAAGCGAACCGCACCTCCTCTCCTCATCCTCTCCTCTTCTCCTGCATTGTATTAGGAACTGGTTTTTTTTTTTCAGTGGCTGCCTCTTTAACTGTAAATAAGTTTATTCTCATTGTCTTTGTTACCCCTTTTGTTCACCTCAAACAATTACCCTATATCGAGGCCATATATAAAAATACCGTCTCGCAGTGGAGACTTGGTCATTTGCCAATCATTTTCCATCCTGCTGCCAACATTGTATGTCTTCATTGCATTAAAACCTTGACCGTGTTTCATGGCCCTTAACTTCAAATCACCTATAATCGAAAAATACAAGAACTATCAGTACAGGGGAAAAAGGACATGAGGAGAAAACTTAATTTCTGTATTGAGATGCAGCCACCGTTTTCCTTTCTAGGTTCGTAGGAGAGAAACTGTTCGCATCTGCCTGAAAAAAAATAAACAGGAGGACAATGTCATCACATGAAACAATTCAAGTGCGGTTTACACACCGTACATGACTACAAAAAATGTGTGATGCCACAGTCCTCTTCTTATTGTTTTAAATTCCTTTCCCTAAAACCCCCCTGCCCTGTCGTTAGCCATGCTAGCTCTGATTGTCAAGGACAATACAGAAATAGCTACCAAATTTGAATTTTAGCCTTTTTATAATTTTCACCCAGCACTTGTCATATTGTTGAGTATAAATGTAAGATACTGTTCATCTACTGATAAGTGCATGCTTACTAGCAGTTCACTAGTTAATTGAATCCCCATATAATGTGACAATTGCCTAGTGTGCAAAAAGAGAGACTAAAATTCAAAATATAAGATGATTGTAATAAATAGACTGCATGATAATCCTCAAAATATTATGTTATATTTGGTACAGGATAATAAATATGAATTCACTGTCATTTTTGGGTTTGTTTTTAAACATTTGATCAACTAAAATGTCTGGAAATTACCAGATGGTGTCATTGACGAATAATATCTGGCTCGAACGCTATTTTAGTATGTTCACTCAAATCTGTTCTGTACACTAGAGCAGCGGTCCCCAACCTTTTTTGCGCCACGGACCGGTTTCATGTAAGAACATATTTTCGCGGACCGGCCTTCAAGTTGTGGGGGGATAAATATGACGAAATAAAATAATACGACCTGTGTTCCTGTTTAACTGGTTATTGTGTTAACTGGTATGCTATTTTCCATTGGGTTGAATGTTGCAATCAAACACACCACAAAGGCATATCATTGCAGCAAATAAAAACGTGTCTACGGCACCGCGGCACAGACAATTAGATAACATGCATGTAAAGTAGCGTTTTTCAGAGCATGGGTTCAGACCTTAATTGCCTCAGCTATAGTTCAATCGATTTTATTTATTAATTGCAGGCTTCATTTATATGCTGCAGTTTACAGACAATCTGCCCGTTCACACACTGACTCAACACAGTTTGCTGTCTCAAAGTCTCTCGCACTGCAAAAGAAGGAGGTAATCAAAGTAAATCCGTAAGCAGATCTAACCAGTTAACACAATAACCAGTTGAACACCGGCATAAAAACAAATATAAAGTGCATAAAAATACAACTCACCATTATTACGCTGAATTAGTGGGAGCCCTGAGCTTGTGTCTCTGCAATACGCCGGTCCAATCTAGGAGTAATGGGAGACAATGACACCCGAAGTGTGTTCCTTATGTCCAGTCTACTCCGTAAGCTCTTAATAGAAGTTTGTGCTGCACTCACTTTTTCCAGCTTGTTTTTAGCGGGGCTTTTTGTGGGTTTAATATTAACCGCTCTATCGAAATCAGTCGGAAGTCGCAACGGCTCATTTCAGAATAAACGTGGATTTGCGTAAAAAAATAGATTCTTGGGTTTCGGGTGTTTTGTTTGATTTTAAAGGTCCCATGTCATGGCCATTTCTCCTGATCATAATTCCATTGTTGAGGTATACTAAAATACATTTATATTGTGCAATTTTCCAAACTCACATTGGTTTCTCATACAGCATCTCTGTATAGTATGTGTATTCACTCTCTGTCCTAAACGGCTTGTTGGAGCTCCTGCCCCCCCCTCCCTGTGAGCCCAGTGGCCGTCTGCGAGACAGGAGACACAGCGAAACCCAGCCCGAAACACACACACACCCGCAGCCTGGCTGGGAGTTTGTGTGTGTGCTCAGGCTGAGTTCCGCGTCTCGATGTCTTGCCGACCCCACACCAGTGAGCCAGCTCACAGTGTCCCGCTCCTCGCAGCGTTGAGTGTGTGTGTGTGAGGAAGTCCGCGGATTGGTCCAAACGTAACGCTTCCGCGGACATAACGTAACGGCTCTGCGGATTGGTCCATTTGATTTGATTTGGACCAATCTGCGGAGCCGTTACGTTACGTTACGTCACTATACCAGAAATACGTCACTATACCCAAGAAGTAAACAATGGAAAAAGATAAATCTCCAACGAGGCGTTCTGGGGCAGCATAGACAGGTATTTTCTGTGTTAGAGTTTTACTCGCTACAGGGTGTACTTTGAGGGTTTGTGACTCTGCAGACTGTTTACATGCAGAAAAACCTTCATAACACACAACCACACGGGAAAGGTAATAACCAGAAAAGCATGACATGGGACCTTTGAATAAACAAAGTATTGGCTTTCAGAATATTAAACTTTTATTTCCAAAATCACACGATAAATACATGTTTGAAGCTTGTAGGGAAGATGACAGGCACCTCTCACTCGCACCCTGCTCTTCCGCAGCGCTGCTCCCCCTCCCTCCCTGAAATGATGAATGCAAGGCGTGTATAGTAATCATACTAACACGGCAGGTTCCGTGACAGTTTGTTTTCATCTGATTTCAAATAAACAAAGTCTTGGCTTTCAGAATATTAAACTTGTTTCGGCAAATTCAGATGATAAATACAACTTTGAAGCTTGTAACGGCATAATTACAAGTGGAGAACTGAGTAACTTAACGTCACAGCAGGCATAACAACAGCCGGTGTTTCTTGTGAGTGTTTTCCCCGGGAAACAAACACAATACACACAAACGCAAAAATACACACACACACACACTCGCAAGCTTCCCCCAGACCAGTAATCCAAACAAAAATCACAGCATTATGACGTTCCAGAGTCCAGATTGCTCTTGTGCTCAGTGTTGCCAGATGGGCGGTTTTCCATGAGTTGGGCTGGTAGGTATCACTGTAATAACTCACGGCACGCGAAAATGTAAACGACTGGTCCGCGGACCGGTGGTTGGGGACCACTGCACTAGAGGACACACACACATTTTTGTTTTCCCCAAAAGACTACTTCAGTGAATGATTTTACCTTATTTTCAATGCTTTTATTTAATATATTTTCTCATTCACACATGCCAACATTGGTTAGAGTTAATGAATTCCTATTTTGCCTTGAAAACTTGTCTTTCTTATAACTCTCCCTCTCCCTCCATTTCTCTCCCTCCCATGCTCCTTGATCCTTCCTTAGTTTTTTTTTCATCTCGTTCCTCCTCTCTGTGTCTCAAGTCTTTGGGGTTTACTCTAACAATAGGTATTAAACTAGTTCAGAGCTCCATTGAGGAGAAGGCACAGGGCTGGTAATATATTTGAAAGTCTTTAGCCTCGAGAGACACTCGAGGGCCCCGAGTGCTTTTAACTAAGTAGCATAGCAGCAGGTGGCACGTGGCGAAGTGAGAAACATTGAGCGTGTTCACAGCAGAGGCCTTAATGTTCACTGAGACCGTCCTGATCTCCACCGCAGAATTCATCCATCACAAGGCATGTGGCAAAGCACGCTGTTCACTCAATGAGCTTACTTTAATGTATTATGCTAGCTAAGTGCTTACAAGCAGCACTGAATAAACTGAAATGTTGCTTTTAATTAAATGTATCATGTCAACAGATTTCACATTACTGTATTTGGTTAGTTGAAAGCAATAATATGAATTAATACTAAATATTAGGTATAAGTTCATATTATTGCTTTCAACTAACCTAATACAGTTATGTGCGATGTGTTGACATAATACATTTAGTTAAAGTCAAGGTTTCAGTTTTTTTATTGAGCTCTTGATATAAAACACAATTTTATTTTTGCAATATTTATGCATTAGGGCCAATGTCAGGGTTCAAATTGTGTTTTGAAAGCGATTTTATATACAAGAGCCCAGGCATGATTACATGGCAAGCTCTTTATATCTTGGAATTACTCAAAAAAGCCGTTTTGAAAAAGCCCTCTCATCTTAAGTACCGATCATGTCCCTTGGTTTTGTGTTTAAAGCCGTTTTGCAAGAGTGGGTCTGGCTTTATTTAACGGGGGATATCTTCCTTTAATACAAGACGCATTGAGATTCCTATCAGTATCTGACTGTTGTACCCACAGGGTGATACAATAAGTGTTTGAGGTGACAGTGAGGGGAGTGCAGCTTATTCCCGCAGGCGAGCAAAGACTGACAGAAGCAATAAAAAGCAATGTATCAGTCCCTCAAACAGCAATTCCCACATTTATCCTATTCTTCCTCTCCTTCCATCTACACCTCCCATGATGCTTCCATCCCTCCCTCCCTACTACCACTTGTTATCTTACTCTATTCTCCTTCTTTATCCTCCTAACACTTTTCCATCCTTAACTACCAATTCAAATGACTTCTGTTCTTTCTTTACCACCTCCATCTCCCCCGGTATTCATCCTTCCATGTTTATGCACCATGACACCTGTCTTTAAATAAGGACAAAGTGACAAAACTAAGAAAGCTTGGGCTCACTGAGCTTCCCACCTGTTTGCAAACTCCCACAAAAAAAAACATCTTGGAAAGTTAATTTATTTTCAGATGTTTGCATTGACAGAAATCCTGCCAAATCTCTCACAGCTTGATTGAAGTTTAGATAGATGACTGTATAAAAAGCATTTCCAGTTTTTCTCAAAACCTTGGCTGCAATTAAGCTTCGACATCCTCCGGGAGGTTTGCAGACCAAAGACCAAGCGTGTTTTTTCTTTCAATCTCCATGAGCTATTAAATCACAAAAGGCTTTTTTAATGATTTAGCTCACACAGAGTTAAGCAATCCTTCAGCTTAGAAGTTGAAATCCTTCCTAATAGCTGTTGCAGAGGTTGTTTCCCAGGATCCCTTAGCAGTACATATTGTTAGTTTCTAATTAGTTAGGCAATCAGTGCAAATATTTACATTTTACTTTTGTGAAAGATCACTTTTTATTCTTATAGAAATTGTGGGACTTAAAATAGTGGGACTTAAAATAGTGGGACTTAAAATAGTGCAGCTCCTCACTAAATAGGAATGAATGCACTTTATAGCCTTTTAAGTGTGTGTAGTACTATATATGTAAAGTTGACTGAACGTTTGGAGTCCTCAAGGTTTAGATATAATAATGTATAAAAGACCAGCATACAATATAGCGTGTTAATTCATCTTTCTCTTTTTTTGTTCCCTTTCTGTCACTTCCTCTCTTCCTCGTGCTCTGCTCCTCGGTCTCTCAGTGAGCATGCCAGCCAGTGAGAATGAATCCGTCAACACAGACAACGCCCCCGGGGGAGACGTGGAGGGGGAGACCTGCTGTACCCGGCTAGCGTAAGTACCTCACCCTCTCTCATGCACACCCTCTTCTCCTTCTCTTATCCCCCAGCTCTCATGGTCACCTTCTGTCTGTCCCAAGACTGACCTCCATCCTGCCTCTCTCCTCAATAAGCACTTTAGTGTTAGACAAGGTAAGAGAGGCCTGTCCTGGCTCCGTCCTTCACTGAGGTCACCAGGACGGACCTTGTCAAGCTCAAAGAGGTTTGGAAGAATCCCGACAATGGGGCTGGTTAGAGGAGAGCAGAGTGAAAGGAAATTACTCTTCTTTCTCTACCTCCGAATAATCTGTGACCTTCATTAGACATAGGTCAGGCTATGAGGAATTAAACCTTCTCTAAACCACAGTGCCTTATTCTTTTTCTTTTATTATTCTAAAAATAAACAACATCCCAATTTGAACATTTGTTTTGGGCTCATATTTAAGAAGTTGACCCTCATTAGGGACTCATTAAAAATTCCAAGAACATTACATGGTTCATCTCATCTAAATGTAATCCAGTTTTATTTCCCTTTCTTCTCTCCGTCTGTTTCTGCTCACTCTCACCTTTTGTGTTGGCTGGTGAAGTGCCCCCCCCCTCCCCTGTGGGAGCTCACGAACAGCTGACTCACCCGCCCCTGCTCCCCACCCTCTCCTTCATTTTTTACATTATTCAACATGTGCGTTGCTTTCTTTCTTAGACTGAAGGCCACGCAGGAGCATGACCCTGGCGGTCCCACTTTACCACTTCAGCAGCACACACAAGCAAACACACCTACACACAAACTGCTCTGAGATCAGAGCAGAATAGAAGTGAATAGAGAGAGTTAATGTGCAGTACGACATAGACATTTAAAATGGAATGGTTGTGAAATAAAACTAAATCAACAACACTGGAGGCACACTTGGATGGCACACTGTTGTTTATCTGTACTCTCGCTGTCCATCTGTTACTTTGTCTTTGTTATGTTGTTTGTGTTTGTCCCGTCAGACCAAAACAACTCAAAACAAAGAAGGCATCATATCTGTGTCTTCCTGAGCTGACACAACCTCGGCTCAGAATGCCAAATAAATGTTAGAGTGAAGCCATCATAATTTTTCCATTATTTCCTTAGTTCCTTTTCTTTCTATTGACTTATTGCTGCAGCTCAAGATAGCACTACATCTTGTGTGCATTAAAGATTCATATTTAGAAAAAGAAAAAGCACTAAATGCTTTTTCGTATTTGTGTACTATAAAAGCTGTCGTGCATCAAATCTAAAAATAATTCCTCATTTGGTTTTTAAAATAAAAGCGTATTCAATTCTAGCATCCATCTCCTTTCTCTTGTCCACGAGGAGCTTTAAAATAATGACTCCTGAGGTCTTCGTTAAATAAGTGACTCTCAGTCAGACTGTCCCAAACCCAAAGGAGTAGTAAACCTTGCCAGGACTGGAAATACGAGTCTTCATCTTTTCTCTGCGAGACTGCAACAGGTTGGACTAGCAGCAGCGAGTGTCTCTTCACATTGCCGTAGACATAGTCCTCGGGGTTGGAGCTACTTGGACGCCTGCTGATCTCCATAATGGAGACGGGCACACGGAGGGGAGAGACGCGTGTACTGTCAGCCTCCATATCCAGCCAGTCAGTCATTTTATCCTCCGTTCAGTCAGGCAGTGAGTCACTTCATTGCTTTGGTCAGCCAGCCAGTCCGTCAATTCATCTGCTGCTACAGAGCGAGTCAGGACACTCGTCTCACTAAAAGGTCATTACAGTGTGTGACGCTCTTTTTATTTATTTATTTATATGAATACAAGCACTACAATACAATTTAAATGCAACAAAAGGAGCCATAAATACACAAACCAGTACACATCTGATCTTCGTATTCACCAAACATAAGTGCTTTTTTGTGCATAAGGTTTTGTTATCCTTAAACAACCCTTGCCTGAAAGAGGAACATCAGTTTATACCAGCATATTATATATTAAGCCCACATGGTCAAATCATGGTATTTAAATATGAACAGATATCATTTGATATGTCAGTCTGAATTTCTACAGCGGGATTTCCTCTTTCTCTCCTCTCCTCTCCTCTCCTCTCCTCCTCCTCTCTCCTCTCCTCTCCTCTCCTCTCCTCCTCTCCTCTCCTTTCCTCTCCTCTCCTCTCCTCCCCCTCTCCTTCCCTCTCCTCTCCTCTCCTCCCCTCTCCTCTCCTCTCTCCTCCTCTCCTCTCCTCTTTTCTTCTCCGTCCAGATAAAATCTTCCATAATCTCTTGTCTTCCGTACTCTGTATGTTTTGTTGTTACAGTGGTGAACAATCAACAGACATTTGTCTATTTATAAATTATGTTTTTTCAGTGATTGGAGGAAATCCAAACTTAAAGCTTGTATTGTTCACTTGACTGGATGCCACTGTATACTGTATGTGTTTGCTTGGGGTGATTTGATTCGAAAAAGAGTTGATTTTACAAATGTCAATTCAAGATCAAATACCCCTCTCCAAACACCCCTTCCATGTTGTGTACCTGTCTATATGTGTGTTATGTGTGTGTATAATTCCATTCTGTTTTCTGTGTTCCAGAAATAGGATCTCCAAATCCAAGTTCAGGTTAGTACATGTTGTTTACCATAGTCCCTTAATCCACCTTCTCTAATGTCTCTTCTGCTGTGGTACTTATATTATCCCCAAATTCCTAAAACAGACATTTTCCAACCCATATTAAAATACCAAGAGGTGTTTTGTCCTCTTTAGAGACAGAAACATGTTAATATTGACAACGTTTTGTAACTAAGGTTCTTTTGAAGAGCCTCAAAAGATGTTTCAAAAATAACATCACATACATTAAAGGGACATGTCTCTTTCTTTAACAATGCATGTCCGCTTGTTCTGTTGCTGTGAGTCGTGTCTCATGTAACATTCAGTGTGTGCACCATGGCCAAAGCTGCTGTGTGCCATAAGTGACTCTAAATAGCTCACACACACTCAAACAGAAGAAACATGAATTTTGTATAAGCAGGGAATAATTACACTTCCTGGTTAGCTGTGTTCATATGCTGACAAATCTCTGGTGCTGCAGGGGGCCAATAGAGAAATGGGTCAAGTACAAATCATCAATATACTCATATACTCTCAAACAAGATAATTGATTTGGGCAGTTATGGTATGGATCCATTACGTGGCTATGGATAAAAGCTGATTGGTTGGATAGATTTTCTTACTTAAGTGGCTGTGAAAGCGTGTAGTACAATCCTTTATCTTAGCAATATCAGAATTGTTGTAAGGCAGTCATTTTCCTTTTTGGCCACGAACTAAGGTCTGGAAAAATGTCAGTTATTCGAACATTGGTACACAAGTGTAGGTATTAAATTAAGTGGACCCTTGAGTGGACGTGAAGCTGGCAATTATTCAAATCAATAAAGTGTATTTATTAGAGGGCAGAAAAAGAGCAAATTAGCTTAAAATGCTCAGCTGTCTAAATAGAAGACATAATAGAGTTTTAAAACTAAAATGATCTACTTCTTGTTGTAACCATGATCTTCCCTTATAGTTGAATCACAATATAACACTTTTCCGTCTAAATTTGAGCCTCCAATCATTTCCTCAGGATAAGCATTTGTTCTTTTCCCCTCTAATGGTGCATATCTCCTTCTGGTGTGAATCGTCTTTGAGGATGACTAACATTTCCTGCTCTCAAACAGACAACCACCGACCAAGGAGTGATGTCATCACTACGCTGCAGACAGACTAACTGACTCTTTCTTTGTTTTCTCTCTCCTCTGCTGTTTTTTTCCCCCTCTCTTCTTCACTTGTTAATTTTTAACATTTTTTTTTCCTCTTATTTCTTCTCTCATGGGCCCGTGATCTTCCTCTTCATTTCCTCCATTGTTCATTCCTGCCTCTCTGCTGTTTTCCCCACTTCCCTCCTCATCACTACGTCTCCTCTCTCCCATATTTTTCTCACCTCTCCATCTCTCTCTCTCTCTCCTCAATCTGCGCTTCTCTTCCTCCTCAGTCGATACTCTCGGAGGTGGAACAGGCTGTGTAGGAGGAAGTGCCGGGCAGCGGTCAAATCGCAGATTTTCTATTGGCTGGTCATCTTCTGGTTTTCCTCAACACTCTTACCAGTCCGCCTCTGAACATCACCAGCATAGCCTCAGTGGTTAACTGATGTACAGGTACGTACGCACATACATACACCCTATTTGTTTGGTTTGTAGCTACATTACTTTTGCCTTGTCTCTCCTTTTCCACTAATCTTCCTTTGCTGTCCTTTTTATTCTGTCCCTAGTTTCCTTGTTCTAACCCCTTTCTCCCTTTCTTGCCTCCTCTGTAGACATTGCCAAACAAGGTGTTGCTAGCACTCTTCAACCGGCGAGATGCTGTTAAAGATGTACAGTCTTGGGTCTGCAGGTCGGTGGCTCACAGCATTATTTATCTACAAAATAAGTTCTATGTGAAAATATTTGTTATACATTCAAAGACTTTCAAGAGAAACTCCTCCCTCCACTACTTTCCGCTTAAAGTTTGACTTCTGTCTTAAATCTCCACAGGCGTACTTTGTTTCGCTCTTCAATCGCTTCGACAGCTTTGTAGTTTGTGGTGGCATTCTTGAGACCATTCTGGTGGAAACCAAGGTTATGTCTCCTCTGGGCATCTCTGTGCTACGTTGCGTACGCTTGCTGCGAATCTTCAAAATAACCAGGTTAGTATAGACGTTTGTTGTCGTTCCCTCTGGTGCTCTTGGTCTTCAATGTCACTTTTCCTGTCCTCTTAAAACATGTGACTTACTGGTCTATACGGGTCATGTGAGTACTTGCCAACACGGGTCAAAAACAGACCAAAGTGAACCATGTTGTACTTGCCCTGATGAAGGCCTCAATTATTTTGACTTGTACTAAACCTGACGTCTGTGCCCCCCCCCCAGATACTGGAACTCTCTGTCCAACCTGGTGGCGTCCCTGCTGAACTCTGTGCGCTCCATCGCTTCCCTGCTGCTTCTGCTCTTCCTCTTCATCATCATCTTTTCCCTGCTGGGCATGCAGCTCTTCGGGGGAAAATTCAACTTTGACGAGACCCGACGCAGCACCTTTGACAACTTCCCCCAGTCTCTGCTCACCGTGTTTCAGGTGAGGCAGATGTCTCTATTTGCTTCTTGTTTCCCTCCCGTGTTTTTCTTTTTTTCTCATCTTGTCCTGACTTGAAATGATGAACTTTGACTCCTACATTTCTACAGAACAGAAAGTCATTTCATTTTAGATTTTGATTTAGATTCAACTTTATAGTCATTGTGCACAGAGTACAACGAAATGCAGTTTGCATACAACCAGAAAGTGCAAAGAGTAGTAAAATGCATGAGGTTTCAATAAATACACAATTCAGATCAATGTACTTAGTTATGTATAAATATGAATAAATGTCTTTTGATAAGGTGCCGATTTAGACCATATACATATAAGGTACAGGGTTTAGGCATATGTAAGTTAGACACTCTAATCTAGTTTGTATTACAATTGAATTAGATAAATAACTGTGAAAGGGGTGAGACTTTTATTTCTTTTCTTTCTGAATCCACAGATCCTAACAGGAGAGGACTGGAACTCTGTGATGTATGATGGTATCATGGCGTACGGTGGACCGTCCTTCCCCGGCATGCTGGTCTGCATCTACTTCATCATCCTCTTCATCTGCGGAAACTGTATCCTGAGATAAAATACGTCCATTACATAGCAGCATGTGTCATGTGGATCTGAAGGGAATTGGTGAAAAATCAAAGGTCTGGAGCAAAGATTGACAGCCAAATTGTGTTTCTGATTCTGTTAAACTGCATCCCATCAAACAGATAACAATGTGACTGATGTGATTTGAATGAAATCCAAACCCTCTTTAGGATGCAGTTGCAGGAGTGAAGGGTGTGTTTTGCATGGGGATACAGTCATGAAGACAGAACTGTTTGCTGGAGGTCAAAGAAGCTCTGCTCAGGCAGCTGGGACTCATCCACACTGATGATCTGTTAGTTCAGCAACATCCTTAGCTTCACCCTTCTGAACAGACATCCTACTGAATGTCTTCTTGGCCATCGCTGTTGACAATCTAGCAGACGCTGAGAGCCTGACATCTGCCCAGAAAGAAGAGGAAGAGGAGAAGGAGAGGAAAAAACTGGCCAGGTAAGAAAGACAGGTGGACAGTTATCTGGGGAAAAGAAACAAAGGACATCTTCTTGCATGTGACACCTGGAAAGGTAGGATAGGATTCAAGGGCGGTGATACTCGAGCCTTGAAATTAAAGTACTAAAAATGATTTACAATCAGAGCATGAACATGTTATTATGGTTTTAAGTCAGGCTGACATTTTATCTGCTTTGCTTTTGTGTCGAAACCATTTTTTTATTGGGTAATTTAAGCGTCTCACTGCTGACAAAGGCAATTTGTCAGCAGTGATAATGTGAGATTTTAGTGCAGCTGAGGAAAATAGCTTCGACAAATCATTACATGTCTTCTTTTTGGATGCAACCTCTATTGATCTTAGGAAAAACATTTGCCTGTTTGATTTGATATCAGCACAGCCACCCCCTGGGATTGAAATACTCCCCCTCATTACACAAATCTAAGTGTTTTTTTTTGTTCTCCTGGTCTTAATCTAGATGTGATTCATTACACATTAGTGGATTAAAATGGGGCTAAGGTTAGGAAAGGGGAAAGCTGTTAATATTCTGTCTTTCAAGGTTGGCCATCCCAGAAAAGCGTCTAGCCAACGAGAAGCTGCCCCTGGAGGAGAAGAAGAAGGAGAAGAAGAAGAAGAAGAAGGAGATAGAGCTGAAGTCCATCACTTCCGATGGAGAGGCCAACACTGCCACAAAGGTACAGAAACACACATAGAGACTAGAGTATCTGCAGTCTTCAATTATCTAAAAGTGTTGTTAGAGAAATGAATGAACTTGTTACTGAATGCTTTGCTCTCCCACTGCAGATTAGCATAGGTGACTACTGTGGAGATGAGAGTGAGGAGAAGAACCCATATCCTGCCAACGACTACATAGGTAACACATGGTTGTCATGACAACCAAAAACTCTACAGGTCTATGTGACATCTCCAATAAATAAATATTCTCATCTCAAACATCTTAAAAAAGTAGTTTTCATCCCATATTAATAATTACATATTTTAATTTCACACTGCTTCATATATATCAAAAATGCTGTCTTGGGTCCCATTGTTGTCAATTGTCTTAGGTATATATGAATAGAAACTTGGTACCAAGAACCTGTGAATACAAGTAGCAAGTACTTATCAACACTTTTGAAAGTACTTTATTGAATTTTGATTCAGTCCAATTGTTCCTTTGGATCCTTTGCTACCTCTGCTAAGGCAACAATACCCCCGTCAGCATTTTATTTATTCTCACTGTTATCCTTTTCCTTCCTCTCATCAGGAGACGATGAGGAGGAGGAGCCTGAAATGCCGGTGGGTCCGAGGCCGAGACCACTCTCCGACGTTCAGTTGAAGGAGAAGGCCATTCCCATGCCTGAGGCCCGCGCTTTCTTCGTCTTTGGTCACGATAACAAGTAAGAGCAGGCTGTGGTTCTGCAGTCAGCCGACCTGCCTTTCTCCCCCCCACAGTTTCTCCCAGTGTTTATTCCCATCTCTGTCATGTTCTGATCATATCAAATGTTCTATACATTTTGTAGCATGAGAATGAAATATGTTTTAATTCACTTTGTTTTTCAGATTCAGGGTTCTGTGTCATAAGATAGTCAACCACAACATCTTCACCAACCTCATCCTCTTCTTCATCCTGCTGAGCAGCATCAGTCTGGCTGCAGAGGACCCGGTCAAGAATGACTCCTTCAGAAACCAGGTAACACACACCATAAAAGAACATGAATGTAAGGGTATAGAATAAACACATACTGTATAAGGCCTAATTTGCATTTGGGCACAGACTAAAGCGAACACTGTAGTCATCATTAGTTGCCCATAAAAATGTATTCGGTACTAAATGGGTTATAGCCGACAGCAACATATAGAGGAAGCAGAGCTTATTGTGACTGGCTGGTACACTTAATGACATTTCTTCCAGAGTACTGTACTGTGATTAGCTTCATGTTAGGAAGATGTGAAACGCCTGTTAATGTTTAAGACCATTGCAGCTGTGTACACTTAAAGCGCAACACCATAATCTTATATATAAATGTTATTAAGGGTTAATTGGTGTAATTTGTGAGCTGTAGATCAATGTGAAGAATGAGCACGGTTCCTGTCTTTGTGTATTGTTTATTCTCTCATTGAGCAAGATACCCTAAAGATCTGTTGTATTGTATTGTCTTTGGCTATTATATAGTTTCTGTATACAAATCTACCTCAATTAACCTTAGCCTGACATTTTAATGGAATTATACTTCCTGTTTTTCAGTTTACGCTCTATTCACTCGTAGCATGTTAGTCTAATCGAACCTCATTACCCTTAGCCCTGAACCTCATCGTGATTAATTCAGTATGTGGTGAAGTCATCCAGGACGATGCTACAGTTAACCATTAGTTCAGCTGTAACTCTGAAGAACTGCACGTTATCATGTTTCTGTTTGTGTCTATGTTTCATGCTATGGTACCTCTAAACAAAAAGCTGTTATTGTTTTTCTCTTTTGCAGATCCTGGGATATGCAGATCATGTTTTCACTGGACTCTTCACCATTGAGATCATTCTTAAGGTAGTATATCAAGTTTACGATGCATCATATTTGGGACGTATCATCTGCAAGTTTTACATGTGATTGATTTGCTTTAATTTAATGTGATCCCAATCTTTTATAAAGTAGACTTATAATAAAATAATATAAGTATGTTTCCTCTGCAGTAAACCCATGCATGTATTATGTAATGCCTGCTCAGAGATAAAGGTCAAAAGCACTTATTCAATTGTTTATTTTATTTCACACCAGTGGTGGATAGTGACAAAGTACATTTACTCAAGAACTGTACTTAAGTATTTTGAGGTACTTCTACTTTACCTGAGTATTTTCCTTTATATATTTTTTTTAATACAATTTAGAGGCCAATTTTGTAATTATTACTCCTTTATATTTATTTGAAAGCTTGTAGTTACTAGTTCAGGGTTCTTACGGTCATTAAAAACCTGGAAAAGTCATGGAAATTCAAAATGCTAATTCCAGGCCCTGGAAAAGTTTTGGAAAACAATATTTTTCCCAAAGTTTTGGAAAAGTCATGGAAATCGAACTAAAGTTGCATCAAATATAATTTATATTTTATCTAATCGCCAAAATAGTAATACTATAATGATAATAAATACTGTATCGTATAGTAATGAAACATAAAATGGCATTTAACTGTCGAGGTATTTTGCTGGTGAGAGATTTTAGTTGCTTTAGCGTGTAGGAGCTAGTAAGCCTACTATTTGATTTGTTTTAGATAGGCACAACATGTTTCATATGCAGACCTTATTTTCCTGTTCCATGTTCAAATAAACCATTTTCAGTGGTACCGCTGAGAAAGAGTAATTATCTTGGTCATGGAAAATTAGGTAAAGGTCATGAAGTCATGGAAAAGTAATTGAAAATCATTGGTGAAAAAGTGTATGAACCCTGCTAGTTACTTCTCAGATTTAGAATATTAGCTAATACAAAATGTAAATCAATGATTATATACACTTTGACATATATTTACAGGTTAAGACACCCAGCAGCAGTATATCGAGTATTTCAATAAGCTCTACATTCACAAGCTGTGATAAAAACAGATAATGCAGATCATGATAGTTACCCGGTAACTCAATATATATACAGGATTCTGAATTGGGCCATTACGGGTACTAAGGAGTACTTTTACTAATAATTCTTAAGTGTAACTTGATGCCGATGCTTTAGTACTTAAGTAAGATTTTGAAAGCAGGACTTTTACTTTTAACAGTATATTTACAATGTATTATATCTACTTTTATTCAAAATGTACTTTTACTCAACTGTGCTTGTATCCTTCTTTAAAATATGAACTTTGACCCCTACAGATGACAGCCTATGGGGCCGTCCTCCATAAAGGTTCATTCTGTAGAAACTATTTCAATATTCTGGACCTGGTGGTTGTCAGTGTGTCCCTCATCTCCTCTGGAATACAGTGAGTGCAGCCTAACGTCTCCTGATGCATGCTTTATACTGTCGTCCCATTTGAAATATAAGCTGCTTTAGCCTTTCAGTCCAAGTAGTGTGCACTGATAAATCTAACATTATGTGGCAGCAGTTCCAAGCGACATCATCAGGGAAGCTTACAATATCATCAAACATCCATTTGTGTGGCTTCATGTTAAAAAGCTGGACCAGTCAGCCAGATAATGACAAGTGCATGAGACACTAGTCCATTCCAAGAAGACACAAATCAAGCTGTAAAGTGGGAACAAAAATGTGTTAATGTAAATTGCCCCATGCTTCACACTTCTCTCTGTTCTCTAACAAGTTCACACTTCATTACTCCCAATTCCTTTCTCTCTTTGTGATGTTTACTAAATGTGTTCTCTGCTTCTTGTTCTTGAAATGCTGTGATATTTCTGATGTTTAATATGCTATGCTACACTCTCTGTCTCTAATGCTTAATAGACATGACTTCTCGACGTAAGTCCATATTAGTCCGCACTAATAACCCCCTTAACAGACCTTCACCTTAACTGTGTAAAACTGTCACTCTTTTGCTTTTGGTATTTCTATGGTCTTGGAGAGTTTTAGTAAAGAAAATAAACTCCAGAGTGCAATCTGTGATGTTATCATCAGGCGCAGGTTATTGGGGTTACACTGTATTGATAATGGGAAAACACAAGATTGTGCTTTGTCACACTTTCAGGTCTTATCAGCAAAATCTGTTTTGAGCCAAAGATTGTCTTTTCTGGGGGGCGCCCCCTGGGTCCTGTTATATTGTACTCAGCTGTCATGTCCAATAAATGTCAATATGATTATTTATCTATTCTGTGACATATATTTTGGGGCAGCGCAAACTCAGTTACCATACATTTGGATAAACGGAACTCTCCTGGGCTGTAGAAATGACACCATAATGCTCAAATCTCAGTTGTTTTTGCCTGTTCAAAGTCGTGAGTGTGTGGGATTTTTTCTGGGTATATCACAGTCAGATTAATTGTGAAGGTGCTGGTAGTGTCTACTACCGCCTCAGTGCATTTATTTCAATATCATTTTTCTCCTTCCCAATATGGAAGTATCCCCTGTGGATATACTGTACAGTATATCTGTATCCTTTTTTTTAAATGTCCATTTAAGTATCTGCGCAAATAGAAGTCATTTTGTAGAAAAACAGCATGGAAATTGCAAAAGTTTATCAAGGGTTTTGTTAGTTAAAATGCAGAAAACCACATACAGAAAGCGTGATGTGTTTCTGCTCTGTGTGATATTGTGTGTGGACAGCATGTAATATGTCCAACATTAGTTCACACGAAAGAACAGTGTGTCCGATATGTAACACCTTACTTCCTATCTCTGGACGGAAACTGCATGTTTGCTTTCTTAGGAAACTATTTACAAATCAGGTGGCTTGCACAGCTATATTCAGGATAAACAGAAATGTGATCCAGGCACAAGGAAGGAAACAAGCCTTTATTTGAGTGAATAAATCATTAAAATGCCATCATGTTTCTACTGATGTAGGACTTGCTCAGGGCTATTATTGAATAACATTCATTAGTAGTTATATTCATTTTATATTCTAAAGAAATGTTTGAAATTGAGTTGAAGTTTGTACTATCACTACAGGATATCTCCACAGCTGGTTTGACTGTGATATGTTGCTGATGAAATCCTGCTCAACATGAGCTACCTTTGATTCCCTTTAAACTTTACCTTCCTGTGTGAACTGTTCAACAGGTCTTTCCTTTTTTGATTTTAAAGTATACAGAGAATAATGTCACTCCCTTTATACCACTCCTTTAACCCTCTTAAAACGTCACTCCCTTAAAAGTATAAATTGACATTTTGAATACACTTTTTTCCTTTGTGACACTTTGGGAAAAAGTTTTTGTATTTTGTTCATCGGTGAACTGAACATCCTGAAGCTTGTTTCAGAGCTGTTGACGTCATATAGTAATAATGAGACCTAGTTCAGATGAACAATGGACCAATGCTTAAGCTTTTTCCAAATATCTATTGTAAAATTCAAAATGTCAATGTATGCATTTGATTCTTTTGGTTTAAATGTTCAAACCTTTTCCTTCACTCCACTTCCTTTGAAAGGTCACACTGTTTGGCATTTGGCTTTAACTGACACTCTCTTACAGCACAATAACTCTGTTTGCCTGTACATGTCTGTGTGTTGCTTTATCTGTGTTGAACATGTGTGTGTTTGATACATAAACACTTTTTCTATATTGTTCCTACTATTGTGCACATTTTATGTTATTTTCCTTATTCATCAACACGTACAAACCCATAATGTCAGTCAATATATGATACCTTTGCCAGTAGTTAAGAATGAACTAAACCTGACTATAATCCACTATTTTTATTTGACCACCTGATTTTTGCTAGATAAAATAAAGTGCACTGCTTCCAATGCCCTAATAGAAATCAGAGATACTATTCAGCGTTTTGTTATAAGTCATTTTAAACATGTTTCATTGCTTTTTTTAAGCATACATTCTGTAAAGGTAATGTTTAAAAAAAAAAAAAACACACATATTATTACTGACTTTGCAGAATTTAAGGCCACCTTTACCTGTTTCTAAAGACAATCATTATAGTTTTGTGTCATACTTCTCGTTCACTTCACTTTTATCTGATCATTTTGGTTTCTTTAACTTGTGTGTTTATTGACCTTTACTTCAGTTTGTGCTGAAAAAATGCTTTTAAAACTTCTTTTGCAAATATGTCTTCATGTGTGTAAAAATGTGTGTTTCATCAGTTAAACTGGAGCATAGTTAACCCCATGTGTGTTTCAGGTCCAGTGCCATTAACGTGGTGAAGATCCTGAGGGTCCTGCGGGTGCTCAGACCACTGAGGGCCATCAACAGAGCCAAAGGACTGAAGGTTAAAACACTCACACGTATATCAAAAACACATAATACACTCATACTCTCTTCTCAACAAATAAATACACATTATTGTACTTCACTATCATTATGGGTGTGTTTTACAGCATGTAGTGCAGTGCGTGTTTGTGGCAATCCGGACCATCGGCAACATTGTCATCGTCACCACGCTGCTCCAGTTCATGTTTGCCTGCATTGGAGTACAACTCTTTAAGGTAAAGTGGAAAGGAGGGAAAGAAGAAGAAGGACAGGCTTCGTAATCCGGGTAATTTAAATACTAAATCTCTATGTTTTCCCCTCAGGGCAAGTTCTTCACCTGTACTGACAGCTCCAAACAAACGTATGCAGAGTGCAGGTGAGAGATCCCTCCTGCACGCAAGCTGCTCGAACTCTACCTTATAGAATAACTACTAGATAATATATGTGGATATGTGTGTGCGTGTCTGCTTGTGTCCACAGGGGTTCCTACATTATGTATAAGGATGGTGATGTGGGGAAGCCTGAAAGAGCCCTGAGACTGTGGGAGAACAGCGACTTCAACTTCGACAATGTCCTGCAAGGCATGATGGCTCTGTTTGCTGTGTCTACCTTCGAGGGCTGGCCAGAGTGCGTATCTTAAAACTAAAAATGCATTTATATATATATATATATATATCCTGACCTGCATACTGTTTTTACACAGTGTATTTATTTATTTTTGTGACCAACTTTTTATTCTATTCTAGTAGCACTCACAGAGGGACACATATACAGATACAAGTTATGTACAATAATACAAAAAGAAAGAGAAAAAATAATAAAAGGAGATGTATAGGGAGTCCCTTGGCCTCGACACCCATCCCTCCCCCCCCCCCCCTCTTGCCATGTCCCACAAATCATACATAATGCTGGTTAGCAATAGTCTAAGTTAATCTATTACACACATGTTTGCATAACGGTTCATAACCAATACTTTCTTTTTTTTATCTCGTCTTTTTTAACTAAGTTGACATTGAGTCCTCTCCCAATCATCTTTCAATACATCAAGGCGTGCATATATGTATAGTCATACATTACATGAAGGATATAACCAGGTCAGCAGCTCTTTTAATAGCCTGTAGTGTTTCTCCTTTAGCATTGTTAACAGAAGTGATTGACAGCTCTGAGTAGTATGTCCTGATAGGAAGATATCAGTTGCTTGATAAATATAGTATGTTGTGGTTTCCTGCAGAGTGTATTTTATACTCATTAAAACTGAGTCATTTTCTCTCCTGCAATCTCCATCTTCCTCCTTTCCTTCAATGATTCCTCCCTCCTTCCCTGCCCTCCCTTAGGTTATTGTACCGAGCCATAGACTCTCACACCGAGGACGTTGGGCCCATCTACAACTACCGCGTGGTCATCTCCATCTTCTTCATCATCTACATCATCATCATCGCCTTCTTCATGATGAACATCTTCGTCGGTTTCGTCATTGTCACGTTCCAGGAGCAAGGAGAGCAAGAGTATAAGAACTGTGAGCTGGACAAGAACCAGGTACTGTCTCTGTCTGTCTTTTATTACTTACTTCTGTTTACTGCAAGATAGATGTGTGTTTTAAGGTTGAAGTAGAAGGAGAGTGACTATTTTGGCTGAAGTGGGAAAGTCATTTTGCAATTCACAAGGCACAAAGGAGAGTGAATGTATGCCCTGCAGTGGGGGGGGAGACATGGGAAGCTGAACCTGAGTTTTAGGGGCTGAACCACTCCAGGAGAGCAGCCAGGCGAGAAGTACAGCAGCTCAGAAAGAAGATGAGACTAAAGCTTAATGAAGGAGCCAGGCCAAGTCCCTGCAGCTGGGTTTCCTGTGATGATTCAAGAACATGGACATTCACACAGAGCAGGGAACAGAAGTCTGGGCTGGAAAGAGCTTTTTCAGACTGCCAAAAGACAATTCTGCAGCTCTTCCTCCAGGGTGGTCTGAGCACAGAGAGGAGGAGTGATGAGAAACAGGCGAAATGTTTGTGTATGCTCACGTGTTTGTGTGTGTGTCACAGCGTCAGTGTGTGGAGTACGCTTTGAAGGCACGTCCATTGCGGCGCTACATCCCCAAGAACCCCTACCAGTATAAGGTGTGGTATGTGGTCAACTCCACCTACTTTGAGTACCTGATGTTCACACTCATCCTTCTCAACACCATCTGTCTGGCCATGCAGGTGAGTCTCTCTCCCACACACACACACACACACACACACACACAAATCCCCCTTTCTTTTTAACGAGTCATTTGTGTGTCTTTGCAGCATCATGGACAGACAAAAGGCTTCAATGATGCCATGAACATCCTCAACATGCTCTTCACTGGACTCTTCACTGTGGAGATGATCCTAAAACTGATCGCCTTCAAACCCAGGGTAAGTCCACCTCTCTAGCTATGACATAAAAAATAACAGTCTAGTAGATGCAGTAAAGTAGAGAAATAAAAAGTATCTGCTGCGTTTAGTATGTTAATCAAACAAAGTTGTACTACTAATCATGACAACCTATGGATATAATAAAATAGTCTAATGCTGTACATTTGAGGTTTTGCATCAGAAATAACTGCTCACTGATGTTGAGCTGTATGTTCCTAATCCGCATGTAATTTCCTCCAGACGATAATTACCGTGTCATGGATCTAAAACATGATTAGTGGACGGCATCATGTGGCTTTTAATCTCACTGCTCCCTTGTTTTCCTGCTGTTGTTGCTATGAAGCTGTGTGGGTTTATTGGTCCAATGTTAGAACGTCCTGGTGCATCAGCTATTTAAACAGTAACAGATGGGAACGCTTCATCCTATTACTGCAGGGTTCGTAGAAAATCCTTAAACTGAATCAATAGACAAAACTGTTTCATATCATATTTTTACCCTGCACAGTACATAATGTTAATCAAAAGATGAGTATAAGAAACATTCCAGTTATTGCTTGACTTTTTACAGATAATGATTAGCCAAACTGACATAAACACATAAAGGCTCTGTGCTTCAGCTCACTGACTTCTTTAATAGAACGAGACGGTGAAATATGAAGTTAAATTAAACAGCCTGCTGAGAGTCATTTTCTTTTTTTTTAACCTTATCCTTCAACATAATTGGCAACGGTGCCGGTGTCACTTTTACTCATTATGCTCATTATAAACAGTGCGTTATAACCAAATTCTGAACTTTGAATTCCAAATACTCCATGTTTTATGCATTCATTCATTATTTCTAGTCAGTTATTGAATTAATTCGAATTTGTATTTATTATTTATGTGAAGTTAATTGCTCAAAGTTATTTGTTGGCATTAATGAATGTCATTTATGAACAAATTCATTATCTGGGAGCCCTTGGATTTCTCACTACTTATTAAAACGTAATGATATGTCGTTTTTCCAGTTAGCTATTAAATCAACATTATGTTTTACAAAATGTGTTCTTTTATCAAGATTTATTAAGATGAATAAAATAATATTTTCTTTTTATAATAACATAAAAAGATTATGGATGTACTTCATGCATGTAATCATGCATGTCTTGCAGTGTTTTCATGCACAGGCGGCTCCAGCTGGAATAACCAATTATGTGCAGGAGAACTTTTAAGGCTTGGGAAATGACCTCATGCTGCGCTGCATTATGTGTGAAATATAAGTTCATGTTAACGCTAATTATGGCTTACTCAATTCAGTTTTTAGTGGAAAATACAAAAACTGATACCTATTTTCCCTCTTTCATGCATTTCGTTTATGTAAAAAAGTGAAGTGCCGCATGAGGAAATGTTCCCAAGCCATAATGAACCTGGTATTGAAAATGACCCACCCTTAAGGACATTACTTGTCTCATTGTTTTAACTTCAGTAAACTCTTCCGGCACACACAGCCGGACCACCCGCTAACACTTTTATTTTCAGGTATTGCAGTCGTCAAAGCACATGTGGAATCAGCTGGGGAGACTTTTATAATGTGAAAAATGTGTGCTAATGCCTTTTAATTTGTGATCTTAACAGTGTTGTTTAGTTCTGAACATATTTTTGAATGATCTGTGTTCGCTTTCCTCCCCACTTCCTGTTTTATAACTGATGTGTGGGGACGTTAGTATGGCAAATAAATGCAATCACTACATGCAATAGCATTTAGATTCTAACCCTAAACTCTATTAATGTTTGGCCCTGCTTTTACATTAATATTGTCACACCTCAAACAACTTCATCAAACCACTATAGCGTCCAAGGATGCCTTGTTATTTTTACATAGCCTTTTAAGATGATACCTCAGGTGCTGATGACAGATTCAAGTAGATTCACTATGATTGACTTTCTCTCAGCATCTTTCTGTTTTGCCACTTTACCAGTTTGATTCATACAAATGAGTTGTATTCATTTGTGCACACGTAATGTTTTTAAAACGTTGCAGTCAGAGTCAAATAACACTTCCTAAAAATAGGACATTTCATTATCCAGACATTGGTCCTTCTTATCCACCTGTTCGAAGTTCCAGCCATCTTTAGACACACAAATGCTTACATATTTCATATTATCTTGTTGCAAAAGATTGGCACAAAAATGGTTGCAACATACGCCTTCCTAGTCCACAGTAATACCAATCAAAATGGTGCTATGGGAGAACACACAGTCTGAATGAAAAGTAACTTGCTTTACAGTTTATGGAAATGTTTCTAAAAATGCCATGACCTCACAATGACCCTTGTTAGATCTTGGCTCTCCCCTCAAGTTAAACACCAGAAAATAAAACATTCTTTCCAAGATACAGCTCTCTCCTCACAGTACATATAATATATTTGTATTTTACCACCCTAAATGAAACAACTTTGGCCTGAAGCTATGGGGATGTTTTGCATAAATACTCACTTTGTACCACTACTGGTGATGAATCGGCCTCCACAAGTTAATCACACAAAGTGGGCTTTCAGTATAATCACGTTGCTAGAACAGCCAAAGATGCTGGTGGAAGACTTGAATAACTTCCACCTAACACGCTATAACAGAGCAGGAAATCCAGCTGATGGACAGATACTGGAAAGGAAAGCGTTTGATTCTGTCGATTAGCATTCAAATGTGTCCTTTCATGTGTCTGTTCATCAGCTGATTCTCCCCCTCAGTGTACTGCACAGCCTCATACCGACGTAATAGGGCTGGGAAGTGGCAGCAGATGTTGTTTTCCTTCTAACCTACCTTTCTTACCCTCCTCCTCCTCCTCCATCTCCTCCTCCTGCTCACCTCATCCTGTGTAGGGGTACTTTAGTGATCCCTGGAATGTGTTTGATTTCCTCATCGTAATTGGCAGCATAATAGACGTCATTCTCAGTGAGATCAACGTAAGTACGATGCCCACTCTCCTTGTCGCTCCCTCTTTCTCTCTGTCTTGTGCCTTCTTGATTCTTCTTTCATTCTTCCACACTCCTCCTCGGTGGCTCTTTCTTTGTTGTGTTGTCCTTTCTCTTCATCTCTCCTTCTCCTCTCTCTGCCTCCTCTTTCTCTTCTTCCTTCTCCTACTTCTCTCCCTTCATCCTTGACTCCAAGATGGCCGCTGCTACTCAGGGGACCCCCGACCACAAAGGGTTCCTGAGCGAGACCAAGCTTCTTCATGGGTTTCTTAAAACGTAGAGGCAGGGTTTAGCTTGGGCACAGAAGGTTCCTGTCTTGCGTCCTGCTTCCTCACAGTATCTCAGGTGTTGTCGGGTTTTTTTCTCCACTTTTTGTCGGACTGTGACTTATCCTCAGGTTTGATTCCCTCACTAACTGAACTAACTCGCTGACCAATCACACACTTACACATCATTTTAACCACAACAACAGGGGCCTTTTATTTGGTTGTGATTTTGTTGGAATTTGTTCTGTACTGTTGTTCTTGTTGTTGACATTTTCCTCTCATGGACAAGCATGACCGATCTCCGCTGCTCTTCCTCTGCTGTCCATCTTTTCAAGACCCCTCCTTTTCTTTTTTTGCCGTTGAATTTTGTTGATTCTTTCCCTCTCTCCTCCTACTAAAAAAACTCCAATGCTCATGTATATAATGTTTTTTATCTTATTTTTCTCCTCTCTCCATTTATTTTTGTTTTTTCCATTTTTTAAATGTCTTATGTTCTGTCCTTTTCTTCTGTTGTTTTTCTGTTCTCTCCACCCCTACGCAGCATTATTTTGTTGATGCATGGAACACATTTGATGCCTTGATAGTTGTGGGTAGCATTGTTGACATAGCGATCACTGAGGTTAACGTAAGTAGTCCAACTCCCTCCCTTCCTGCCTGCCTGCTCTGCCATTCCCACACACACACACGGACAGAGTGCTGATACCCATCTCGCATGCTTTCAGATGATTAGGAAACTTCAGCTGCATCACATTTGAGCTTAACAGACGGCTGAATAACTCTGGCAGTGAAAACGTCCAGATGTCGTAGTCATTTGAAACAAAAGAAAGGCTTGCTACAGTGGTTCTTAGAGATTTTTGACCCATTACATCTTAATACTTTTTAGATGGGTCAGTTTTATTCATTAATATGTTGGCCTTTGGGATGCTAACATTATTATGTTAACTCTGTATAACAACTGGAGGCTTCAAAACAGCTTTCCTGAGTTCCCCTTTCTGCGTATTTATCTTCAGGAATGGAATAATTGGGCTGCAATTCAATTTGAATTCTCTTAATTCAAGTCCTGTTTTGTATAGATTATGTAACATTTGAAACTGCTTCAGAAAGGTATTCATGCCTCAGTCTGATAAACATCAATAGCTTCAAAAACTATTGCATTTACCACTTGAACCTGTTGCATTGTCTCAGCACTTGGTTTGGTTTCACATTGAGTTGATCTTTTAACATCGCCACAGGGGATCGTGTCCATTCCCCTGGCATGATGGACACTGTATAGCATGGCAGATGTGAAGGTGCTATATCCAGGCCTGCTACTGTATATCATGTTTACAGATAGGGTGCGCATTTCTGCAAAGCAGCAAACGTTACTGGAAAGATATTGAATACAGATTCTCAAGTGTTTTGACCCTAGGGTCATGAAACATTCTAAATTCAAATGAGAAAAAATACAAGTTGCAATTTTTTATTATATTTTATCCGACAATAGTAATGCCCAGACATGGATTTACCCAGGACCTGTGAAATGTATGCAAATGTATGTATGAATTCATTTAGCATCGACGTGGGGGCCCTATGGTCAACAGTGAGGCTGAATAAGAATGAATATGCCAAACACAAGTCAAATGTTGAGTGTCTATCGTATTTACACTTCAGGGATAATTGGTGTTTTATTCATGCGATATTCAAAGTGCTCCATGGCAGGAGAACAGGCAGTGTGTATTAACTCTTCATTCAGCATTAACAATGGATAGTTTCTGCTGTGTGTGCAGTTTGCCGGAGAGGAAAATGATTGTGTACTATGATCAGACTGGCCAGTGAAGCTGAATAGGTCGAGATCTCTGGGAGTCTAACTTTGATATACACTACATTTGTTTCAGCTAATGAAGACACATAAACCACCTTACTTTGTTTCTACACATTTACATCATCTTACGTCACATCAATTATAGAAACATTTTACTGCATGTGGATGCACATTAAGTTTAGATTTACTCTCACAACCTCAGCATGCTGCCGGTTTGAGGACATGAAGCAAAGAAAGGATATGCACATGTGTACACCGGTATGTTCCCCCATGGTGGAATGCGGTGTGATTCACCTCCGACAGAACCGGGCAGGCATACAAATAAGGTTACTGTATCCCAGGGGTGTGTGAGCATGGCAGCTGTTCATCAGGCCTTTGGAAAGGGACTCCATTTGTCCCCATGAGAGGCTGACAAGGCTGCATGGAAGCCACACCGGGTATTTTTTAAATGGACATTTCATCTTTTATTCACATATGAAATTGATGAAATCTAGTTGAAATGTTCTATATCCTGTTGTTGCTTCGCATTGAATGTATGCATCAGATTTTTTTTTTAGCAAGAATGCTTTTATATAGGGAAAGAGGAGTGTATAAATATATACGTAGACACTTAACAAAAGACTGTCCGAGGGTGAACAAATCATTTGAGTCAGTTGCCAATGGAACTTTTGACAATGATTAACCTGATTTATTTCATACTGAGGTATATAATATATAATGAGGTATATTTAACTGAGGTTCAATGGGCCAGAGATATACATCTTTGTCATCTATACAAGTCACTGATGCTGCACTTTGGTTTGGAGTTTGCCTTTGGTTTGATTTTGTTGATTGGTTTGCAGTTATTCCTGAATGTTTCATTATTTTCCTCTCCTTCCCTAACCTAAAGGCATGGCCCTACGTCCTTTTTTTTCTTTTCTTCTTCTTCTCTGTTGTTTTTTAAATAATTTGAGTGATGACACTCAGGCTACCTTTTTCTATTTTTTTTTTTTAAGAAACCCTCCGCACTTTAACCCTGTGAGAAGTCTCGTCTGTTTCTGAACTAGGACCCTGTCACTGAGACATTTTAGATTTTAGCCTGTTACTGCATTTCACGAGGTATGAAATAAAGTGAATTTTAATGTGCAAAGAGGTTACAAACTAATAGAAGCAGCTTGCCAACATCTTCCTCCCTGTCATTGCTTTTCTTAAGTACACAGCGAAGTGCAGTAACAGGCCAGCTTTTAAAATGTTTTCACTTTGCCTTTAGTAAATATTAAATTGCTTAAATCTCTCTTATGAGTGCACCCCCTTCGCTGCTCTGCTGGGTGCTTGCTGACTTAGATTAGCTTTTTGTGGTCATCGAATCAGAATACTTTTAAAATCCTGGGTCTCTAATTCTCCCCAGCAACCTGCGGGTGCTTCTTAAATCTCATCTGGTTTCTTTTTCTCCGTTTTTTGTTTTTGATATGAGTAGAAGTAGTGTGAACAGATCTGTAGTGGTTTGCTTCGAGCGGTGTCTTGCAGAGGATGCCAGTATGAACTGCATCTACTCCTCTTTGTCTCGGAATGCCTCCTCTTCTTCTCTCCATCTCTCTTCTTCTCTTTCTGAGCTTTTTCAGTTCACTTTACTCTTCTGTTATGGATGTTTATCTCTGTCTCTCTCTGTCTTCTCTCTCATTGGTTTGCGGTGCTGCTTGCTCACCTGAAATGCAAGCTGGGTAACATGGGTCTCATGCTGTCACTCATCCAAAGAGGACAGCCTATTATGTGTTACGTATTTTTAAAAAGGATTGTGAAATAATGTAGTTAGTATGGTTTAATCCTGGCCCATGACAGATCAAATGCACCTTAACCACACATCTTGTAAAGAAACCCATGTTGCCCATTGAACTGACTGAACTGATGACATTTGCTGAAAACATGACGTGTAATGTGAGAAACAGCTCATGCTAATTTAAAATGAGCTCATATATCAGATGAGCTGCAACTACAGTAACTCACATCCACACTGTAGTTCAGCCTTTAAGGAATTCTCTATATTGATTTACAAACCGCCTTGATTTCATGTTTCATATTGAAGCATTTTTCAGATTTGAATATGCTTTAATTGACCAAGCTAGCCCTCGAAGTAACACACACACAAACAGACATTCCCACATATTTGAGCTGTAACGTAATCTGCACATAGTTTGAATAGGTGCCATCTTCCCTCCCTCCCTTCCTTCCTCCCTCCTTCTATCCTTCCCAGCTTTCCCACTCATCCTTGTCATCTTTTATCCATCATTTTTCCTTCCCTACAACCAAACTACCCTTCCCTTCACAACCTGATGCCTCACTCACACACACACACACACACACAAGTGCTTATAATATACATGTCCAGGTAAATAGTTATTTGCAAATTATAGGAATTTATTTTATTTACATTAATGTGTCCGATCATTACGTATGGCTCTGTTAGAATGTCTTCAAGTGCTTCATTTTGTAGTAAGGCATTTTAACAGGGCCAGCACCAAAGCAGAGTGAAGAGTCATAGATTAAATGTGGAGTTAATCTATCACTCCCGGTGGTGTAACATGTCGTAACACCAGAGATGACCAGCGGGTGTCTCCCTGCAGTGCGTTACCTTTGTGCTTCTCCGTGTTATTTAAATACCTGTGGGCTCCAACTTCCAAAAGCATTTTTTATTGTGTTATTCCGATGCATTTTTATGACCTGAAAGTAGATGAAAGTGGATGTGGATTACTCTCAGGTCAGAGAAAAGCTTGAATAACACATATCCAAAGGAGGCATTGCCCATTAATGCCGAGATGCATTTGGTGAACGTAGCCCGAGTCGAGCTAAAGCTTTCACTGTTACTGTACTGTAGCTTCAGCTGGCACAAAGAAAAACAGATAGCTACAGAGACGCCCTCTATCACACACACACACACACACACACACACACACACACACACACACACACACACACACACACACACACACACACACACACACACACACACACAATGTAGCATATAGACACGTACAAAATCCGCTCTTTGACTCTCTGTGGCTGGCCCAGACCATCACTCATTATTTTGGCCCTCAAGGCATTGGACAGCAATTTCCCAATATCTTACCTTCTACATGTTTCAATCGTTGTGATTCAGCCTCACACAAGATGGGTCCAGTCTCCATATGCAGTAATATCTTACACAATTCTCCCTCCTGGCCCAAATGAAATGATTTTCAGCTTTTCATTTGATTAAAGTTTTTTTTTATATAGAAGAAACTAATTTATGCGTTATTTTAAATAAAACTGACACCAGACAAGGCGGCACAATGTCACAACAGAGCATTTATGTAAGTGTTAATGTTCTGCTATTGTTTTCTAAAAATAATTCTTCAGAGAGTAGCGTTGCGGTTTGTGAGTTATTTTTAGGGCTGGCTTAAAAGTTGTACTACTTTTTACATAAAAACACATAAAGACACAAATACTGTACACACACACACACACACACACACACACACACACACACACACACACACACACACCAAGGCGCTGCTCTGGTGCTGATCTTTGTTGCCTTTCCTTAAAGCCAGCTGACTCCTCCTCGTCCTCGTCCTCCTCCTCTTCGCCCTCCTCCTCCTCCTCTTCCTCCTCTCACCCCCCTGTGGTAAGGCCAATGGTACGCACTGACGGTAACCTCGCCGCCTCCCTACCTCCTCCACCATCTCTCCAGCCCTCCATCCTTTAATCCCTTCTTCTGCTACACCATAGTATGATCCAAGACTTTCGGCTTTCATCGTCCTGGCAACTCCTCCTGTCGCAACTGCTGTCATTCTCTTCAGCATGTCCAGACCTATATTTATCTAGCTGTTAGTACTTTTACATGTTCATATATATATTTAGAGTGTATATATGGTGACGGACGCTGTGTTGTGCAGGCCAAGTATAACTGGAGTCTTGTGACTTTCCTTGAGTGGCTATTGTTGTTGCCATGGTGTCCGCTGCCCCAACCCCCCCCATGGCTTGCAACTTGCTCCCCCTTCCCCTATGGGTGTGGTACCGTCAGCGCTTCGTCATGAGTGCAAGCCATCATGGTCACGCAATCACGCAGTCTCTCTCTCACTCTTCTTCTCCACTGGCCTGATATCTATCTTTCTATCTATTTGTCTTTCTTGTGAATCAGTCTATTTGTTTGGATGACTCTGAATAATCCAAACTATTCTTCACATTCAGACTCTCTCTCTCTCTCTCTCTCTCTCTGTTACCTACTGTCACTGTACCTCTCTCACTCACTGTCCCACTCTCAATGGTGCAATGGTCCCCATTGTGGTCCAGTTGTGGTATTACATGCAGTACAGAATTTTGACTTAAACTCCTCAGAAGGATTTGTCATTTTCTGCACATCTGTCAGTGAAGTTTGGGACAACTCGTGTTTTGTGGTGCAAACGTAAAAAACATAAGAACATAAATGGTAAGAGAAGGTCAAAATAAAGACACACATTGTTGATTTCTATAAACATTTCACACTTGAAAAGTAGCATATTACATCTGTTATCCCAAACTGCACCATGATGCGTAGAGAATGGCCAGTTCTTCTGAGGAGCTCACTGTGTTTTCTCTGTAGGATTAGCATAAAGATTTCAGAGCCTCTTGGAAAAACTCAAATGGCAACAAACAGATTAGAGGTCAGAGAGGACGATGTGGTGTTATGCTGCATTTCTATGTGGTCATATGTATTTGATGCATACTGGTGGAGTAGAGTTTAGTTAGTTGTTGATTTAAAATGTTTGCGTAACTGTTTCTGCTGTCATGAATGCTGATGCTAGTTGTTTGAAGGCTTGACCTGATCCATCTGCTGTTTGCCATATAAAGGTAAATACAACAGGTCCTTAGTTGCTGTATTTACTGCATCATGCTTTACACAAATCCTGATGTTGTCTTTGTTTTTCCGCTTTTTGTCCCTGAGAATGAGCAGTAGGAGCAGCATGAATAAATAAATCTGTATTAGAATAGCACTCAGCAAGATGGCTGAATATTTCATCATGAAGTTATTTCCTGTGGATGAGTACAGGGACAATAGACAGTTAGAGAGCTACAGTGCCTCTAAAGCTTGTTCTTCACTAAGGCATACCTTCAATCAAAAGTACACCACAAACACACTGCTTAAATGGTTTGAGAGTAAGAAAAATGCATGTTCATTGCAAGAAGCTCTGCAAATAAAATGATTGTAGGTGTGAAAACAGCTTGTAGAAGATCATAGTAAACAAAGAATTCAAGATGAATAGGTAAACCACCCATGACATATTAGTTTCTACCTGGCAGTGGCTGCATTGGGCAGTAATATCTTTCCATTTGAAAATCCTCTTGTGATTATTTCTCCTGGTGGCCAGTTGCTCCGTGACCGACAAACAATTAGCCTGCCTGCATGATTGATTGTAACGGGAATCTGCCTGCAGGCTAGGGTTCATGCACTGTATCTGTTGTGAATTGTTATCAGTGACTTACAAAAGGGTTTGCTTCTATTGATGGAAATCTGGCCTGCTCTTAGCTTTTACACTTGTTCTTTACCGGTGCAGAATAAACAAATCTCTCAGCTGAGTTGGACCATTTACTTTAGGGGCTCTGAAAGTGTTTTAATGCATGTCAAATGTCCTTTCCATGGCCTTATTAACTTGTATAGGTTATATACAATATATCCAAGAGTGTGTTCTACTTAAAACAACACTGAGGTGAGTAGAAATAATTTCAGATTTTCAGACCCAGGAATTTTTGTAAAGACAAATGGAGCCGTTTTAAGATTCGATGGTTCAGTATGGTGCCTGTAAAGACTGCAAAAGTGCTGCACTGATGTATTATAAAGAAAGGTTGGCGCAGGTGTTTTCAGGAAGCTCATATATGGTTTGCCAATCTCTTTGTTGCCAAGTGACTTTTCCATGAAGCCAGAAAATAAAGCGTGATTGCCCGATTCTCTCCCAGATCTCTTTTGTCAGTTAATTTTGATGGGATTTTGTAGGACGCAGTTTTTCATTTATTAACTGAGTGTTTGTGTGTGTGTGTGTGTGTGTGTGTGTGTGTGTGTGTGTGTGTGTGTGTGTGTGTGTGTGTGTGTGTGTGTGTGTGTGTGTGTGTGTGTGTGTGTGTGTGTGTGTGTGTGGTGTGTGTGTGTGTGTGTGTGTGTGGATGTTATACATATTTACATCCACATCTATTTGTGGGTGGGAATATGCATATGAATGTTACTTGTATGTCTGGATTTTTGTTTGTATGTTCATGTATGTGTGTGTGTATGTTTCCCTCCCTTACCTATCTGCATGTGTCCCAATGCGTCCTGTGTTTTTTATTTAAAAAAAACACCAAACCCCACCAAAAGGGGCTGCAGAACTCTGAAGAGAACGCCAGGATCTCCATCACCTTCTTCCGGCTGTTCCGCGTGATGAGGCTGGTGAAGCTGCTGTCGCGCGGGGAAGGGATTCGGACCCTGCTGTGGACCTTCATCAAATCCTTCCAAGTGAGGGGAGAACCGGACACAACATGCTAAAGCAGGGGGTTGGGTTTACACAGGAATAGTGGAAGTGAGGCTTTAACCCTAATGTGACCCGGATCAGAGCCCTTTTTAGAGGCAATTTTTATTCACGTTTCACATAGCCAATCAAAGACTTTGTGATCCAAATTCGGCATAGTGTGTCAACAAGGTGATTATCTCCATATTTAATCAAGAATAGAACCGCTTAATGATATAAATGCTGTGCTAATCATCTTGTAATTGCAGATGTGAGTCACATGGGGCTTAAAATATCCTTGTTCTTGTGTAAATTCATCCCAGTGGAGTCTCACAAGCCGCCTCTCCTTTCCTTGCCTCCTCGTCTCCACCCCCTATTTTCTTTAAGAAATCAGTGGGGTGGGTGGTGGTTTAGTCCAAACGGTGGCGGAGGAAAAGAACGAGGGATGGTGCAAGGTAACGGAGAGGAGGTTTAGGAGTCTTGTATCAGAGGCAGGGAGGGATTCAGGGACATTAAGAGCTGGGAAACAGGCAGGAACTCAAGAACCTTAACCAACAATCTCCTCTTTGCTACTCATCTCTCCTACTCTCCCTCTACCTCTTCTTCTACTCCCTTTCCCTCCAATGCCCTACTACTAACACCTGAAAGCTCTCCATTCCCTGTAGGCGGGACAGACAGTAGATTCATTTAAAGGAGCACCACCAAAAAATGTAAATCATTTGATAGACAGTTATGGGGGAAATGAAAACAATCTGTTCTCTCTCTTGTGTTATTTGAGACGGGCCACAGTACACTCACATACAGCTTTGGAATTTGAAACATTTACGAAATAACCAGGCTCATGGTGTAACAATTCAACTCATTAATACTGTATATGTAACTTGGATAACTTAACTCAGTGGATAACATATTGACACAATTTCTTACTTTTTTCTAATTCAGTATGATTGGCCCTGCTCTCAAAGTCTCAGGGGTAATGTTAGCCAGGAGCTCAGTTCCACACACTCTCCCGGGTGTGGGATAAAGGAGACACACACATTGTGGCCATATTAGGTTCATGTGTTATGCACTGGACTCCTGGCTAAACTCAGAGAGCAGTTTATGTTTTACTGCGTTTTTTCACTCCTGTGTCAGATGATTTGTCCTGGGTTGTTTTTGGTGTTGTGCCGCACAGGGCTGCGGGTCAGTTCACTTTCACATTATAAAGTACCGATATATTAGTCCTCATACTGCACCTGCTAATTTGAAAAACAAAGAAATACATGTGTAAGGTTAATCAACCTTTTTTTTCTCCAATACTTTCCTAAATCAGTAGAATAATTGCTTGTGTAAGGTGTGAAAGTGAATGGACTCCAGCCAGGTGCAGGGTGATGCTGTACACAACTTGTCACTAAAGTGTCTCTCTCCTCTTTAGGCTCTGCCCTACGTAGCTCTGCTTATAGTGATGCTATTCTTCATATACGCTGTGATCGGCATGCAGGTAAGCCGTTGTCGTGTCAGCCTGTTTCTCCCCCCCCCCCCCCCCCCCCTCTGTTGTGTTTCCTTCTCTCTCCTCCAGCTGGCCTCCATCCTGTGTCTGTCCTCCTGGAGTTCCTGTTTGGTCTCATCGCCCCTCTCTCTCTCTCTCTCTCTCCTCCTCTAGCTGTTGTGTCTCCTCTGTCTGTCTCTGTCAATCCTCCTGTCCTTCCTGTTGAGTTGCTTGTATCACTGATGATGAGAGGGGCGGTGGTTTCTAATTTTGGTTGTTCCAAAGAGCAATTACTTCCACCACCTGTCAAATGCTGACGTCATATCCTGTGTGCTGTGACTACTTCCTCCCCCCTCCTGTATAGATGTTTGGTAAGATAGCGCTGCGGGATGGCACAGAGATCAACAGGAACAACAATTTCCAGACGTTCCCTCAGGCAGTCCTGCTGCTCTTCAGGTGAGGAAGATGCCCACGCTCCTCATCGTTTACACTGGTCCCCTTCTTTCCTCCCTCATCTTCACCCTCCTCTCCACTCTTAATATATACTCTTTTGTTTATGTAAAAATCAACATTTTCTTTTCTTTCTATATCATCACTCTGCTCTTCTTCTCCTTCCATCATTAGTTCCTGTTGTTGTAAATTAATCAAAATTACTTTTCTCTTGTTGATCTCCTATATTTCCTCTCTTGTGAAAAGCCTTTTATATTATACATTAGAGGTTACAACTGACATTTTATAACTGAAGAGGGGTAAATAAATGGCACAAGAGCCAATGTGAAATAATTGTTCAGCATCAGCAGGCATAGCCAATATATCACCAAATATCTGTTCACCTGTACACTAGTATGAATCTAATAACTGTCGTAAACATATCTCTGAATTAATTTGGTCCACTAAGGATGAAGCCTTCTTCAGTCTTCAGAGGACTGATCATACATTTAAACATCCTGGATCCAGTCTCAGAAAGCTCTCTGTCCTGTGTGGTTGCAATGATGGTAAGATTCCATGCAGGGGCCAAAAAAGAATCACAAAAAGGATGTTTCAGAAATGATCGACAATAGTATGATCTGGCAGCCAAATCTTTTTTGTAAGAATGTTGCCATAAAATCATGACAAGCATCTTTTTCTACTGACCCCTTCATGGAAAATATCATAGCAATGCTTCCATTCAGAGAGACAGGATACTTCAGACTGTGTGCAATACATGATAAATGATAGCTAAACCCACAAAAAAAGGTTACACCTGTCAAAACGTAAACAAGTGAGAAAGCTCCGCAGTACTGAAGCATTCAGAATGGAAGACAGTTGGACATTTGGAACATGTCTTGATCTTCAGCTCAACTAAAGCATACATGACATTTCTTTGCTGTTGCCCAGTACATTCAGTGTATTAGGATAAAATGATTTGTTGTTCTTTTTTATATTCAAACTAACACTTTGCATATGTGTCTCCCTCTCTCTGTCTTTGTATCTGTGTGTGTGTGTGTGTGTGTGTGTGTGTGTGTGTGTGTGTGTGTGTGTGTGTGTGTGTGTGTGTGTGTGTGTGTGTGTTTTATATATGCTTGTATGTATGCAACATCCATGTGTCTCTGTGTGTGTGTTAATGCGTAAATGACCATGTGACTCCATGCACACATCTATGCCTGTATGTGTACTTTAATGTATCTGTTTACGTGCGTTTCTTTGCATGCATATCTGTGTCAACGTGTGTGCATATCTGTGCGGGTGTGTGCATGCATGTCTATCTATCAGATGTGCAACAGGTGAGGCGTGGCAGGAGATCATGCTGGCATGCTATCTCAATATGCCGTGTGAGAAAGGATCGACCAATGAGAACAACTTGGCCCACGAGGACTGTGGCAGCCAGTTCGCCATCATTTACTTTGTCAGCTTCTACATGCTCTGTGCCTTCCTGGTGAGTACAGAGAGGAGGAGCTTTCATGCTCCCCTATAAACACTTTGAAAGATAGGATTTGATAAGATTGCAGTTATCACCAGGGTTGGGAGGGTTACTTTAAAAATGTAATCCGTTATAACCTGTAGTTTTAACACTTGTCGTGACTTTAGGATTACCTCAACATCAAACGCAATGCAAGTAAATAAAAGAGAAAGAAATATGAGGTTTTTTAGTGTGTTATGTAAGACAACAGAACAATGTGAACTTATATTTAGGATACAAAATGTGTCCTCTTAAATTTAGGCTAGACCTACAGAATAGTAGAGCTTACAAAAAGCATTTTAATTTGAATAAATGAGGTGTCCATCTAGTCACTAAATACAGATGTATAATACAAGAAGAATGAAAGTAGCCTAAAGGAAAACCAAAAAGAGAATTCAGGCAGTACGTCTACCTTTAATATATTGATCTTTGTTGATACATTTTAGTCCTGCAAGTAATCCCTGTTTTTCAAAAATGTACCAGTAATCTGATTACATATTTATTTATGTAACTGTAAGGGAATACAGTTACTTTTTCTTTGTATAATGATTACGTAATCACGTTACATGTAATGCGCTACTCCGCAAGCCTAGTTATCTCACATATTCCATTACAATAAGATAAGGTGGAAACCCACGTCACATGTTATTCAAATCTCAAAAAAATAGTTTAGAGATGTTGATACTTTCTTTTAATATTATGCAACATCTAGCAGCTAGTTAGCTTAGCACAAAGACTAGACAAAGGGACATGTTGTGGTTTTATTCTGCAGACTTTTTTTATTCTCTATGTGATGTTGTCCATTATAAGCTATCATCCCTTGGCTGTAGCCCAATATTTACCGAGAAGGAGACATTGATTTCACTTTTGGCAAGCTGAAGAACTGGAGAATAAGTGCATCCACAAAATTTGAAAATGTGATGTTGAATAGATTGTCCATAATGGCTTGAAACATGTAGTGTTTAATCGCCTGTATATTGTTAGTGTAGTCTCTGACTGATTCCTGATTCTCCCCAGATCATCAACCTGTTTGTGGCCGTCATCATGGACAACTTTGATTACCTGACACGTGATTGGTCAATCCTGGGGCCACATCATCTTGACGAATTCAAGAGGATCTGGGCTGAATATGACCCAGAAGCTAAGTAAGTTTACAGCAAAATAACAATATATGTCATCAAAATAAATCTTCATTCATCTGCAGAGAGTCCCTATGATCTGTGTAACTTCTGTGCTGTTTCCAGGGGGAGGATAAAGCACCTGGACGTGGTGACTCTGCTGCGGAGAATCCAGCCTCCTCTGGGTTTTGGAAAGCTCTGTCCACATAGGGTGGCCTGCAAGGTAAACACACACACACACACAAGTGGTACTGCAAATCCTCACAGAATAAAAATGAAATATCACAGCTTTTCAAATTCCAGTATTCCACCTTTTGCTGTGATTTTTGGCCAGAATGAAATCCTCTACATTTTTCCAGGTGTGATAAATATACAGAAATGTGTCTTCAGGGTATAAATGTGAAGACATATTGACAGCTTTTAACATTTTCCACAGTGACTCAAATGGCACATTGCCAACAGATCGTACAGAGAAAATATTTTAGATATCAAGACACCAACGTCTCTCTAGAGCAGGGGTGCCCACACTTTTTCAGCTTGGGAGCTACTTTTAAAATGACCAAGTCAAAGTGATCTACCTTCAGGGCCGCCCCTGCCCAAAGTCATGTGGTGAGGCCCTGTGTGTTGCGAGCGGGGGGGGGTGCTAGTGGACAGCGAGCACCGGAACCTCGAAGCGGCAGAGAAACTGTGGCGCGCTTACACTTATCGTGCCGCATTTGCGCTTCAAATGAGGAGGTGAGGCCCCCCTTATACCCTTTCTTTAGTATAATTGTATAAATTGGAAGGCTAACTAGGTAATCAGCTCGCTGGTGATTTGCAGCTGGCGCGGTTGACCGTGCATACGTGGTGAACTGCGTGTTAGAAAATATGAGATTTCAGACTGGCTTACCTGTATGGCAATCAAGTGGCAAATGCCATAATAAGGATGGATGATAGGCTAACTTTTTTTTTTTTTTATTTCTTTTTAATTTTTTCAATGCCATGCAATCTACCCACACTACCTTCGCGATCGACGTATTGGGCACCCCTGCTCTAGAGGATTAAATGAACAGTGACCATAGTGTCAAACCACTGTCTGCTCATTTAAACACACTGTCAGCTACCAGTATCTATTTTGGTTTGTTGAAAATGAAGGAAATGTGTATGTTTTAATTGAAAATGTTGATGTGACAAAATGTTCTCTCTGGTGTAGCGTCTGGTGTCGATGAACATGCCTCTGAACAGCGATGGAACCGTCATGTTTAACGCCACACTGTTTGCTCTGGTCAGAACCGCACTCAGGATCAAGACGGATGGTAACAGACACACACAAACAAACACGAGATACACACACACACACACACACACACACTGGTGGGCAAATCGGCCCATGGAAATGTATTACCATCTTTCCCAGTCCTAGTCTTTTCTTTTTTTTTATGTATACTGTTCGTGCGTATGCAGGTAACCTGGAGCAAGCCAACGAGGAGCTGAGGGCGATAGTGAAGAAGATCTGGAAGAGAACCAGCATGAAGCTCTTGGATCAAGTAGTGCCTCCTGCTGGAGGTTTGTATCCTCTGCAACAGTTCTGCTCACGCCTTCATAACTAACAATAAACACAAATATAGAACATTAGAGCACTTCAAGATCTACCAACAGGGATTTGATTTTCCTTTATTATTACTTTGCCTAAAGCTGTTGCAGCATGTCTTGCAACAGTTGAAAAATGATCCTATTTATAATATTTTAATTTCTTGCAGATGATGAGGTAACAGTCGGGAAGTTCTACGCCACCTTCCTCATTCAGGAATATTTCCGCAAGTTTAAGAAGAGGAAAGAACAAGGGCTGGTGACCAAGGTGGCCCCCAAAACAGCCCTTTCTCTGCAGGTACACAAACATGCAGAGGTTTTCCTTTAATCATGAAGCTCTATACATGTGTTGCATTGTGAGGAAAGTCAGAAGAGGGCAGTACATTTTTCAAATTGTGACTTTGATGGATCCCAAAATAATCAAAGAAATGCAAGGTGATATTTTGCACAGCATTTATTGGGCTCCTTTGTTATGAATGAACCATAGAAAGAAAAGAATAGGTTTGTTTGAGTGTTTCGACCTCTAAATAAACATGTCCTTCACATTGTGTTGGTCTTTGTGTAGGCGGGCCTGCGGACATTACATGACATCGGCCCAGAGATTCGGAGGGCCATCTCCGGAGACCTGACCGTGGAGGAGGAGCTGGATAAAGGCATGAAGGAGCCTGTGTCTGCTGCATCCGAGGATGATATCTTCAGGGTAAAGGTTGGATACACACACCCTCTCACACTCTCCAGAGAGAGAGCCAGAAAGAGAGAGAGAGAGAACGTCGGCGTCCAGCATATACACAGACATGCTTGCATTTGCTCAGAGGTTCACACCGACATTTAATAAGCCCCGTCCTCCACCACATAGCTTGACTTCCATTCACTTAATTTGATTTAGATAATTGGTCTTTTGCATTTAAAAAATAAATAAAGCACATCCATTTACGGCAAATTGCAAAATAAGAACAACAGTTGATCACTGTAACTGAGAGACTCAGACAAAACTGCACACACACACACACACACACACACACACACACACACACAAACACACTTGTTCGCTCAAGGGTGAGTGATGCTAGTGTTCAGCCTCCATTGTATATATATATAACTGCCTCATTGATGCACATCGTTTTGCATTCTGCTGCATTTTGTTACTTTGGCATACAGTAGGTGACACAAATGGACTGATATACTGTAGCTGGTATAATAATGTTTAACAATACAATTTAACTTAAGAAGATTTGTGGCAACGATTTATGCCTCGTCTCATACATCTCATTATCATTTTACTACTTAAAATAATAATTTGAGAACACATTGCTGATAAAGGCTCTGCTTGGTTTGTGACATGAGGCCTTTGCTTGACTTTTCCATCTTGGCTGAGTAGTTTTGTTGCTGCCAGCGCTGAATGTGACAGTAGCACTTTTGACTGATTGTTTGAGTGTAGTAACATATTAAGATACTTTGAACTGAATTTTAATTTCCTGGCTTTTTCCACAATGCTCATCCGTCATCTTTTTATTAACCCCACAGCGGTCAGGTGGGTTGTTCAGCAACCACGTCAACTACTACAACCAGAGCGATGGCCACGCTTCCTTCCCACAGTCCTTCACTACCCAGCGTCCCTTGCACATCAGCCAGAAGGGCTCCCCTTGTGAAGGCGAGAGCCCGTCCCACGAGAAGCTCATGGACTCGACTACTTTTACCCCTTCGTCCTACTCTTCCTCCGGCTCCAACGCCAACATCAACAATGCCAACAACACAAGCATGATCGGGGTGCCGCCCCAGGGCACCAGCCGATTCCCAAGCCCGTCAATAAGCACTGTGGACGGGCACACGGAGCAGCCGCTCACCCCCATCCTACTGCCAAGATCTGCATGGTGCTTTCCTCCAAAGAGGTGAGTGCAAGCCGGACATCCGGTTACATCAGAACCAGAATCAGAATTCCTTTAGTAGTCCCGCAGCGGGGACATTTACAGAGTTACAGCAAAGTGACTTAGCAGGTAAAAAAAGGAAAGTAAGAGTAAGCTAACTTATTAAATATAGAGAAGCAAAACACACATTAGTAATAGAACAAATAAATAAAGACAAATAAGTACACAGCTATGGCTAAAAATTTGTAGCAGCAAAAAAGTGACATTAGTAACAAACTACAGTATTGGGACAATATATGTTTTTCACATAAAAGTGATAATTGCACAGTACAATTGCAAAGAAAAAACATTATCAAACTACTTTTTTTTTAATTGGTGTCCTGGGAACTTATTTGCTTTCCTAATATTTGTGATTCTGAACTAGGGATTTATCATTCATTATTGCCTGAACACCATCACACTTTGTAGTTAGCCATAAAGATAATAAACAACATGACATATCAGTACTGACATAAATGATTATTCTATTTCCTTCACTTTCTTTTCCCCTTCCTCCCCTCTTTCCCTGTCTTTTGCGTCTGGTGACAAGCAGGACGTGTTTTTTTGACACCCTCATGCGGTATGTTGCCAGGGGACAAAGAGAGAAAGTAGTGTGTGTGTGTGTGTGTGTGTGTGTGTGTGTGTGTGTGTGTGTGTGTGTGTGTGTGTGTGTGTGTGTGTGTGTGTGTGTGTGTGTGTGTGTGTGTGTGTGTGTGTGTGTGTGTGTGTGTGGTGTGTGTGTGTGTGTGTGTGTGTGTGTGTGGTGTGTGCGTGCGTGCGTGCGTGCGTGCGTGTGTGTGTGTGTGTGTGTGTTAGTCCCCCTAACTGCGTGTGAAAAGGTTTCATAGTGCGACATAAAATGGCCAACTGTGCTATAGTAAGACTTGCTATGCACATAATGCTTAAGTTGCTAAAGCTAACGCCAGGCTTTATGCTGCTACTGTACAGTGTGCTACAAAGCCATGGATAGACTGTTTGGTGCGGCCAAACCTCTGCTATCAAAGGCTCTCCTGCTGCTGTTTGCTGCTATTGGATGGCCGGTCTGGGTTAGACACAGTGTCTGCTTTCTTTCTATGTTTTGCTCTTTATGCCATACACTTTGCTCTAGATTTGTATGGCCTGTTGAAGATGATTTTTGGTATCCTAACCCCTCTGGCCCACTATTAGCACCAGCCTCAGGAAAACCTATATATTTATCCTAATTGTGAGAAAGAGTATGAGAAGAGCTGAAACGTTTACTTTAATGAAATGTATTATGTCAACAGCTTTCACATTACTGTATTAGGTTAGTTGAAAACAATAATATTAAGTTTAAATAAAAAATATGAGGTTCAACTTAATATTATTGCTTTCAACTAACCTAATACAGTTATTTGAAATCTGTTGACATAAAGCATTTAGTTAGAGTCCACGTTTCAGTTGTTTCAGTGTAGTTATTACCCCCTGAAGTAGTAGGGCTTTAGACCTATCTATTCTCTGATCTATTTTTTGTTAACATAATGTTTTGAACCTAGGAGGACAGGATCCTCTGAAGATTAAGATCCTGAGTCATAGTTAATCAGAGAGAGGGTTCATCTCATTCCCTTTCCATGTGTTCAGAAAGTTAGTTATTTATACTTGCTACAATATAGGCAAAGCAAAGTATGACCTTTGCAATGCTTTCTGGCCTTGATGAAGGGTAACCTCGATGCAGCTGCCAAGTGGAGTGAACTGGATCAAACTCATTACGAACAGTCTTAATCAAGTGCTGTTCTAACCCAGAACTTGCTGATGAGCAGCTTATTTAGCTCTGAATTGAAGGGACATCTTGACATTTAGATTTTATTATTATTTTTCTTCACCGAGTAATCCTGAAGAGAAGAATATGTGCATTTGCTTAAAAAGAAAAAAGGTAATTAGCATTTTTTTATTTGTAACATAACAGATGGTTTGGAGTTGCTTTGACTTACTGTAACACTAAAGCAAACTATGGGGTGAAGGTTAAACGTCAGATGTCAGGATGTCTCCTCAAAGCTTAAGTCTGGAGTATGAAACATATGTGGACGGATAGGGTGGCAAGACATCTTTGAATACAAAAAGAACACAATTTAAAGTAGTACATGTTATATGCACAGTTTAGATTAAGAATGCGTCAAGAAAATAAGAACAGCATTTCAGGCTTCTTCTGTCTGCTAACAACGTTTTTCCCAGGCTGATGGAGGTGGAAGAAGTACTCAGATCTTGTACTTAAGTAAAAGTAGAAGTACCAGAGTGTAGGAAGTGTTACAAGTAAAAGTTCTGCAATAAAAATGTTACTCAGGTAAAAGGTATTGGCATCAAAATATAGTTAAAGTAGCAAAAGTAAAAGTAGTCATTGTGCAGATTGGTCCATTTCAGAATAATATATATGATATGTTTTATAATGATTGATCATTAAATGTAGAGGAGTAAAAGTACACTACAGTATTTAACTCTGGATTGTAGTAAAGTAGAAGTAGCAACAATTGAAATACTTAAGTAAAGTACAAGTACCTTAAAATTGTACTTAAGTACAGTACTTGAGTACATTACTTACTTACTTACTTACTTACACCACTGACTTTATTTGCCTTCATTTGAAATGATGAGAACAGCTGGAAAAGTGAGGCTTCCATTGAAACACTTGTATTCTTAACAATAACAGCTTGAACAAGCCAATGTGTTGGCTTTCCTTATCTTTGTTTTTGAAAGATGTCTGCCCCTTAGTCATGCTATCAGATGTCATATTCCAGTTGATGCTTTTACAGTTTTGCTTTAACAACACAATAGTTATTATTCCCACCTGCTTCTCCTCCTTATTTTTCTCTAGCTTTTTCTTTTTCTTCTCCTCCCTTCTCCTCTTTCCTTCTCCTACATGCCTCAGTGGGTTTCTCAGTCTCTCCTCCTAAGCTCCTCTCTGAGGTTTTTTGCTAATCAGCTGCTTCTTTTTTTTCTGTGTGTTTACGTTTACATCTGTCCGCCTATGTGTTTACCTGTTTTTCCATCTGTGGTCGGTGTTTTGTTCATTTTGTTGGTTTGTTTTGGTTGTGTGCTTGTTTGTTTGCTGGCAGCTCGGACTCCACGGACAGCCGCCTGCCGATCATCCGACGAGGCGACGGGTCGACGGAGGAGACGTACGACGAGAGCTACGGAGACAACAGGAAGTACCTAGAGGACGACCACTCGCTCTCCTCTGACATGTACAGACCACGCCATTTTCATCTCTACATTTCATGAGTTTCAGGGTGGGTCTGTCTCTAACTGCTCTCTGTGTGTCTGTGTGCTCAGGCTGGTATATCAGGATGAAACATGTAAGCAGTTGACTCCAATGGAGGAAGGAGAGGAGGGAGAAGACAGAAGAGGAGGAGGAGGGTGGCAGTCTCCCAGGAGAGTCTTCCTCTGCCCCACTTCTCTAGGTGAGTACACATTATCCCTAAACAAATGTATCAGAAGTATTGGTACAACTAGTCTATTCTTGTTCATACAATGTACTATTTTTTACATGCTGAGTGTTTGCACATTTGTTGTGTGTGTCAGGGCGGAGATCGTCTTTCCATCTGGAGTGTCTGAGGAGACATTCAAGGCCGGACGTCTCCCAGAAGACTTCTGTACCCTTACACCTTGTACATCATCAGGTAGAAAAAGTTGGCCAATGATACTCTCACAAATAAACACATTGTAAATGTGAACTAGGTCCTGCAGACTCCTCTCCTCTGACCTGTCCCTCTGCTCTGTCCTCCTCCAGGCTCTGGCAGTGGCAGGACTGAGCCCTCTGCTCAGAAGGAGTCACTCCCCCACCCTCTTCAGTCGGCTGTGCTCCACGCCTCCAGCCAGTCCCACAGGTACACTCAATCCTGTGCTCACACTAAAAGCAAAACAGCTGTTTTTCAAACAGAAATGTGGCTTTGCATATCATCAGCCAGCACACTTACCCTTTTTTTTATGATGAAAAAACGTATTGTTTTTGATGAGATTGGTTTGTTCTCCTGATGGTTGCTGCTCTGTCGTTGTCTCTAGCCACTGGCAGTGACCCCTCCTACCGACGAGTGCCTTCTCTGAGGCTGGAGGGCACGAGCTCCCATGAGAAGCTCAACACCAGCCTGCCCTCTGTCAACTGTGGGCCCTGGTAGGATTATGCACCTTGAAAATAACTGTTACAAATAACACTGTCATTTCCCAAGAGGCAATCATGAGGATTCTTATGATACTCTAATAAACAGATGTATTTCTCTTAGGTACAACGACAGTAATGGGAACAGCCGAGGGCCAAGTCCTAGCCCCAACCCCAGTGTGTCCAATCAGAGACCACCGCGGCCAGTGTCGCTCACAGTGCCCTCGCTACTGGGAAAAGACTCCAGCTCCCTGTGTCACGGCAGCGCAGGGAGTCTGGTGGAGGCGGTGAGTGTGTGTGATTCGGACCGCTCCAGAGGGCTAAATTAGACAGATTTATTTATTGAATTATACCTCTTTGGAACTCAGAAACGCTGTCAAAAAAGAAAATCATAGAGGTTTAGAGATCAAAATTGTAAATGATAGAATCATGATACATATGAGGGGTCACATAAGTTATTTCTTTACTTCTTAAATTAGAACAAGCATTGTGTTTAATACTTATGGATAACCATTAGCTGTCATCGTATCCGTTGCATATTTTTCCCACTACGGTACATTAAAGTTTGATTTTCTCTCCCACTCCATCCATTCCATTTCCCCCCAGGTGCTAATATCAGAGGGTTTGGGTCAGTTCGCCCAGGACCCGTCTTTCATCGAGGTGACTAAAGCCGAGCTGGCGGACGCATGCGACATGACCATCGAGGAGATGGAGCAGGCGGCCAACAACATTCTCAACGGTAACACCGCGGCCAACGTCACATCCAGCACCTCCTCCACCTCCCAGCACAGCCCCAGTGGCAACCTCCTCCCCTTCCACACAGCAGCAGCACCGCACAGGGACCGAGCGCTCAGCGAGGGCGGGGGGGAGGCCGGGGGGAGCAGAGGCTCCATCCATGGGCCGTCCTCAGAGGAGGAGAGGCAGGAGCTGCTAGCAGGTGTGAGGGGACAAGAAGAGGAGGAGGAAGAGGCAGGAGGGACGGAGGAGGGGCAGCACAGAAGCTCGGTTGTGATTGGAGGAGCGCGGCAGAGGAACAGCGGGCTGTTGGAAGACGAGGATATGGAGTGTGTGACGAGTTTGTAGGAATAGTGAAGGGTTCGATTGGCCAACTGGCCCCTCTGACATCATCAGAGACTGACGCCTGTCAGTGCTGGGTAACAGCGCCGAGGCTGGCTCTGTCTGTCCCCCCCCACACACTCACACACTGTCTGCCTCTCTGCCAGACCAACCGCTCTGGACAATGGCGGCCAGTGACGCAACCTTAAACACCGGGTTATGACTCTGTTAGTCTGTATGTGTGTGAATGTTTGTAGTCAAGTATACCACACTATACTCTATACTATCTGAGTGTATGCTTGTGTGTGTGTGTGAGATCTATGATTTTCTCTATTTGTACGTAAGTGCGTGTGTTCTCCACACGTGTCTGAGTGTGTCTCTAAAGTGCCTCACAGTTTTATCATGTCCTCAAAGTGTGAAAAGCAGATGAGTAAAGAAAAGCAAAAAAGGTCAGGGGAAAGTAGGGATGGGGAAAGGTAGAAAGGAAACAACAGAAGCAGGAAGTACTTGTATGGACTTCCTGCAGTCAACATATTGTGGTAATTGTTTTCATTTCCTCTGCCTACTTTGGTGTTGTGTTATTGTTGTTTGTCTGGCCGCCATGAAGTCAGGTAGGGGACAGCAGACCAGCTTGTGAGGGGGTCAGTTAAGAATTTAAATCTGACCGCACCCACCACTCGTGGTCAAAGGTCAACTCCTCCTTCTCGGTTCACTGATGATGAAGCGCTGTATTGAGTAAACAGGGGCGAGGAAAACCCTGTTTGAAATCTCATTTCTCTTCCTCTTCCAAAGCTAAGGAACCTTGGAGCACAGCCCTGCCAGCCTGGGGGGGGGGATTAAGGTGATACACCACCCCCAGCCAAGGGGGGAAGGATTTGAGGGATGGACCAACAGCCACAACAGAGCTTCTGTTAGGCGCCACGGGCAGAGCGACACACTCTGGCCAACAGGAAGCTAGCCAGCCCTTTCACCCGCTGGTCAGTAAGATGTCAGCAGGAGAAAAACTCACCTTGATCTGGCTCCACCTCCTCCGCCACTTTTCTTGTTTGGCCACGCCTACTTCCTGCCTCAAACAGGAAATGGGAGGAGCATTTGGTGGCTAAGCAGACACAGCGAGCCCCCTTTTCTGCCTCATACCTCACCGCTCCTCACTCCTCCCTCTCTCCTTCCTCACTCCTCTTTGGATATTCTACCATTCCTCTCGCTCCTACGCCGGGATTTTGCTTTTTGTCACCCTGGGGAGGTGAGTGAGAACACGGCAACAGAGATGGAGGGTTGAGAGAGCTGGAGTGACCGATTGAAAGAAAACAGACTCTGGGCATGGATCTACAGAGGATCTGTCCATCAATCAACCTCACTTCCTTCTCCGAGACCCTCCTCTTCCTCTCAGAGTGGAATCCTATTGGATTTGCTGCCACACACTCTCCCTACAGAAACGCCCACTATGTATTTAACAGTTGAATATTGTGCAAAACTGGCTAGCCATGACTATTTTGTTTTAAATTCATGATGTTATTGGTTTAATTTATCCTTGATTTGTTTGCACAATCGGGGTGCTGGTCTTATAAATGTATTTTTGCTTGGTTTATTTTAGGAGAATTTTAAGAGGTTTTAAGTATTGAAGCAGGGCGTAGTGTTTGCGTGCGAGTGTATAACTATATTTGTGAGTGCGGGTGTGTATCTGCGTTTTAGTACAGAATGTATGTACGTACGAATGTGTGAGATAGCGTGTGTATCTACAAGGGGGGTCTTTCTCTCTAAAAGTATGCACCTTTTACAGATTGTATCTATTTATTTATTTATTTTTCCCAGAAGAGAAAAAAATGTGTGTTAGGATATGCGTTTCTTTCTGTGCGTGCCTGTGTCCGAGCGGTTACTTATGTATTCTAAAAAGCTGCTTTTAAGCCTAGACAGTAAATTAAGGTAGCATTACAAGTATGGTATTCTGTGAGGGTGTGGGTGTGAGTGTGTATGTGTGTGTGTGAGTGATAATGGGCCTCCTTAACACAGGGTTACCATGGACAGGCATGCTTCCAAAGCTTTGTGATTTCTTTAGCACGGTTTTTACTTTTTCGCCAAGCTGCACAGCCACTCTATCGTTGAAAATGACTCATTAAAAAAGGTTTCTTCATTTCTGTGTTTAGAGGCGGTCAGGTCTCCAGCAGGGTGGGAGGGGCGGTTCAGTTTACAGTGGTAATGAATCTGCGCATTGCAGCTTGGCTAAAAGGGAACAGGCCTTTTGGCACTTGCTGCTGTTCTTCTTTATGGTGGATGGTTGCTCTGAATGGTAGAAGCACCAAATTCACACTGCCACAGGGACGCCTCATTATGAAGTGGGGGGGGGGGGGGGGGGGGGACACCCTGATCGCTCGACTGTAACACACCATTATCACATGATCTCCTCATTTCATCGTAGTTTAAACTCCAAATGAACTATTAGGGCTGGTTTACAGATGCTGCAAGACTTCTGAAACACATCTCTTTCTGTCTGCTCATGTCACAAAGCATTATGATTTAGTCTTATTGTCAGAAATAAAACAGCTTCCTTTTTGTACCCTGACAGCTCATTTACTGTCAGTTGATAAGATGTGATAATTGTTGGGTTAACGTGCTAAATGATTGGATCAGAAAACTACTGTCAGCTTGGAGAGACGTTTTGTCCTGGATTATCCCCTGGTGCGATTTTTGTGTTTTCATTTTCTTCTAATGGCTTTTAGGTAGCATGCTGACAACTTTTGACTGACCTTTCTCACTTATAGTTTCACATGAGATAAGGAATGACCACGGTACACAGTTCTGGACTTCAGTTCACAGGTCTCACCTTGGTAATGTATCTTCTCCAAAAAGAAACATTCCTAATGTCACACACATCCTTGGTGCCAACCGTCACATTTATTAAACAACATGAAGGTATTACAAACTGAATGAATAATGAAGTTAATTTCTCTGAAATGTTATATTACAAGTTATACTATAGCCACTGAAATGTTGGAAACACTGTATTGATGTCACCACCACCATCCAGATGTCAGCTGGACACTAAGGTAGTATTCAAAGTCATGCAGATACACCTCAGAGAGTAAGAAAGTCAGCATTATCTTGAGTTAAAAACTGTACTTTTCAACTGAAATTGTCTTATAAGATCTAAAGGAAATCAAATATTTTTGCGATATATTATCTCTAAAAATCTCACTTAATCCCAGAGACATTGTCACTTGTCAATTTATTACCATTTGTTTTCTTTTTCATTTGCCGTTGAGGACTCATTCCTACATGTTGAGCAAAGCAGCTTATGGCAGGGAAGGGTACGTATGAACACACTGCCATACACTGCATCCTGTGCCAGTAACAGACTTCTGACTTTATTATGCAAACTAAATGTGAATGTTGGACGTGTTCTTAGTGGCAGTGCTATTGTTGTTTTGTGGTTCGGACCATACTGCAAACCCTGAGGAAGTCTTTGTTCTCAAAGGAATACCCCCCCTGACATTTACTCTGATTTCTCTTTTCCTTTCCTCCTTTAAAAAACATCTCCAGTATTTCTTTCTTCTGTGACTCGAAAATCACCACCTCATGGAAATAGTACTTTTATTCAAAAAGCTTGGTACCATAAGCTCACATCAGTTTCAGTATGAGCTGCTTTTAACAAAACGTCTGAAAGTTAGAAAAGCAGGCCAAGCTTGTGTGTGCAGGGAAGCATCTGTGTTCAGTCTAACTTTAAAGATACAAATAAATCACACTTTGTGTTTTGGTTTTTGATTACACACTTTGTCAGATCAGCCCTAGTAAAGTTGAATTATCAATTGAAAAGATATAATTAGTAGCTGGTTATTCATGCCGATTGACTTGATATACCTAATATCTATTAGGTCCAAATCCTCAATACTTCTAAATGTAACCAGCAGACACCTGTAGAGTAAGGTAGCACTTTGTGTGTGTGAGCTGCTACAGAGAACTGTGCCTGCTTCTATCTGCCAGTTCCACAGCTGTCAACGTGAAGGCAGTTATGCTAAGAGTATTGAATGACGATAGTATGAATCAATAATGATCAATAACAGAACCAGTGAAAGATAGGATGGGAGGATTTACATAGTTATTCGTCACAATCATAAATGCTTTGAGGATTAAAGAACATAAATAATTTATGCGTGCATTCAGAAACTACATTCACTCCAAATTCTTTACTTTTGTGTTCCTAGTAAAAGTCCACTTGCATATTATAGACGCATTTAGAGTATGCCTGCATATCAGAAGTGCCAAACGGGCTGTGATGCGTCTGTCTGAAGGCTGTTAGAGTTCACTGGAGGCCTGTGGTGTCCCGTGTGGACTGTTCATGTTTCCTTTAGGTCAGGGTGAGTTGGGCTGCAGTGTACGGATGAGTGGGTGTAATCCTGCATCCCACAAGATATGCAATAACTATGACTGTACACAAGTAAAATACTTTTGAAAGTTCAAAAAAGATATATCATGACGATGTATTTCTTTCTGTTTGTTACATTTTGAAGTGAACTCAGTGGTTTCCATGCCAGGGAAAGCTCACATACTTGAAATCAGGTACATTGCAGTGCAGTTTAGTAAAGGAGTATTTATTTAGTGTTGGATCTGCAGTCTAAAGTGTGTATTGAGTCATGGAGGGGAAGTTGCTCTTTATTCCCAGAATGCAAGCTGATATTTTAATGATTCTGCATCAAAAAGCACTAACTTCTCCTCCAGGACTCAATATGTGTTGGACTGCATCGTTTGATCTTGTTTGAGTTTTGAAATGCAGCTACCATCAGTATTGCATGAGGAGGTTTTGCAGTTGTTTAGTTCTGATCAGGTTAAGTATCATATCACATTAAGACAGCTATTTCTATCTAGTGTACATAGATTTAAAGTCAGTATTATTCTATATAAACACCAGACTGTGGTCAGCAGTGGAGGAAGGTGATTTTGCATATCTTGTGTCTTATGGGCTCATTTTCTGACTCTTATCCCCCAGAAGGACAGAGCTCATGATTATATGATTGTGGAAAGTTGAGAGAAAAAGCAACCTGCAGTATTTTTACCCCCCCCCCCCCCCCACACACTTTAGACAGTTGTCACTAACTCTTTGCTTATGTGTTGTCTCTATCTTTGACTCATATCTTATCCTTGTCTTCAGAGGATGGACCAGTGGGAATGATGTGTACAAAATGGACCAAAATACCCCAAATGATTAGTTTTTTACAAAACACTTTGACTGATTGAAACCAAGGCTCAGGACAGACACACACAGACAGACAGAGCACAGACACACTTACTGCTTACTGGCTATATTTAAGTACAAAAAAAAACGTATGCTGTGTTCTGATTCCATACCACACAATCTAAGGCATGTCAAAAAACATAGGTGATCATATCTGGATTAAGCCCCAAGTATGGTCCAAATACCTTGAATACTACATTTCCCATAATTCAACAAATCTAATCTTACTACATCTTTTAAACTGCAACTTGACTTCTGCATCTTGACAGTTAAGAAACTAATTATAGATGGTGGCAGATACAGAATGTTGCTTTGTGTAGTACCAATGACTTTAACACTTTGGACAGAAGTCACGGTTTAACATTTGACAGCGCAGCATATTTAAGTGTGCTGATTTATTGTGAACACACTGCAAACACCTACTTCAAAGATTGATATCTAGTCATAATGTATACAAAATAGTGTGTATTGTGGAATTTGAACACGGCACAAGTTTGTAGTCTGCCACGTTTTGAACAGCTGATTGTGTGTTAGCAGGGAAAGCACAGGTGACATTAACAACCTTAATCCTGGCCTTTTCCCACTCTGTGCCAGTTGCTGTAGATCTGGAACCGCTGAATGGCCATTATTATTGATATTAGTTAGATGTGTGTTTTATTGAAAGCTCACACCTCTGCCATGAAGAGTGCAAGGAAGGCTGGGAAGAGAAGAAAGAGTGACAATCTGTTGATGACAATAGGAGGCAGGGTGTTTGGTCTGAGTGGGAATGTGAGATGGAGAGTGTTTTTAGGGATTGTTGATAGTTTTATTCCATGTTTGAATCGCAGGGTTGTCTAGGTTCGTACATGGAGGATTATATATCAAGTGATGTTAAATGTGCATGGGTTTCTCTCTAGGGATATCAAGTATTGGTCCAATGTGAATGATAGTACCTTATGTCTCACCACTAGCCAATGATTGTATATTTTTATACAACATATACCATATTATAGCAAGATATATATGAATATATAATATTTAATCACCAGAATGTTGAAGTAAAGGGCAGGACACTTATTTGAGAATGTAGTTTGTGAAATGCTGGTTCTAACAATGTGTTACAAAGGCCTACTGACAGAGGGAAGCAGTGTTTGTTGGGCTTTTAGGTCATTTTACAACATACTATGAGGCTCTTCATTCCATCAAATATGACTCAATTGAAATATCATCAGCTGCATAACACAAAAACCAAATGACCTTCAGGTGAGACCCCTGAAAACCTGACCATTACCAGTGCTGTGACTTCAAAAGAGGCTATTTGTGCAGATTCAGAAGACACTAGGGAACAGAAAGGGATCTGAAATCCAACATGCTTTTGTTTTGTTCTTTGGTAAAGTGAAAACACCAGCAGCCTGTCAGCACAGTCAGAGTCTGGACGTTTCCTTCTGTAGCGCCGGGACGCCGGTCTCTCTTCACTAGTCCTACAAATGCATTATGAAAGCTATCAAAGACATCAAACCAAAAAAATCCACTGGTCGAAGGACTAGGTCTCTCTATGCTTTGAGCCATGTCAATCATGTAGCTTCTATTCTCTTCTTCCAAAAAGAATTAGAGAGCTTGAACTCTATATGAGTAGAAGCTCTCATGTAGTGCAGACAGGGGAGGAATCAGTCAGCTGCTGAGCAACCTAAGGATTATGTGGGTTCATGCAGCAATGGGACAACGTTTAGTTTGGAAGAGTACATTGTATGAGATATTTTATGGCATATTTGATCCAAAAATGTTGAATTGATCATCAGTTAAAAATGATGTTTATGTGGAAAAGCTGCTGTACATGACAGAATACATTCATCAGTATCAGGAGAAGACTTCATCCAACATGCTTTAACAAAACCTAGTCTTTTCCACAGTTAAAAAGGTATTATAGTTGTGTATTTATCCTTACCTGCACACAGACGTGTTACTATTACCCAGAGAGTGTGAGTGTTCTTGTAAACCGAAGTGTTTGTTGATCACTGTTTGATCCTGACACAGATATTTTAAGAGGACTATTTTGAATATAGATTTTATTTCCTTTTAAAATGCAGAGTATCCTGCTGTCGTA